AGCGGGTCTCCCGCCACACGTCCTTTTCCCAGCGTCGCTGTACAGACCCGAAGAGGAGGACACTGGATGTGAACGTAGTCTATCATCCTTGGAATGGAAATCGGGGAGGTGCGTGGGATCGGCGTAGAATGAGCCGTCTGCGATCCCTAGAGCAGCCAGCAGTCGTCTACGTTCACGTACTTGTAGCCGAAAGTCCGTGAGGTTGTTGGCGACGAATGCGTCGGCTGTGGGCCTGAGGACATCCTCTTTGACGGAGCAGCGGTTGGTTCTATAGCGGTTCAGGAGTCCAGCCCATCTGGGTGCGTCCGACCCAGACCGTTGTCGTAGCTCCGGACGACCGCGGCGGGCAGAGCATGCCACACCAGGAGGAGAGAAGCTGGCCAACAGCAACCATCTTTCTTTCTTCTATCTGCTGCACGTGACCCATTCTGCAAAGTCTCGAGCCACGCCTATCTCGTAAACCCTATGATACCCGGTGATTTCCGGAGCAGAAGCTGTGAAAGCGAAGCCGGAAGATGGCGACGGAGGGCAAGGAGAGGCCCTGACGCTGCTTGCCACCTACTGCGGCAAGAGGCTGAGTCTGACAGTCCCAAACCAGCGCCAGGTGGGCGGACGTCGTGCAAGGCTTGAGTCGAGACGCTCACACGGCAAGTGACGACCTGCCACTCTCGCTCCTCTACCAGGGCGACCCCATCGACGACATGCACCTCTGGAGGTGAGTCCAGCCGTGGGAGACTGTCGTGCCAGCCAAGAAGCTTTCGCGGCGCTCACCATGTTTCGTTACTACGCTGGAGCTCGCTAGCATGCTAGTGTCGTGTGTGCAGGTGGCGCTGGCGAAAATGAAAGGACAGTGATGCCATTCATCTGGTGAAGAGAAGCGTTCAGACCTCCGGGAAGACACGGTCCACAAGAGCATGTACCCGTGACGGTACAAAGAAAGAAAAAACTGACAGACAGGAAATCCTCTCGGTATTCTTTCTTTTCAGGATGGCTGTATGCTTACTGTAGCACCTGCGAAGGACTCGGTAAGATTAGACCCATCTTCAAGTGCTCCAGTTGCAAAGAGGTCAGTCAGCATGTTTTTTTAAAATTTACGCTATCCTATCCTATCGTCTGTTTACCTTCACATTGGCTCTAGTAATATATACCAAACTGTGTTTGTGTGGCCACGTGTTATGTGTGTGTGTGTGTCAGGAAGGAGGCTTCGAACGCCAGATCGCTGAGGCCAGTGGCTCATTTGACGGGAGTACCCTAAGAGCGGATCATCGGGACTTGCAAACTGTGCAGAGAAGACATGAGTGTACGTGGTAGTAGAGTTGTCCTCACCTCCGCTATTCTATCTCTCCTCTCTCTCTCTCCTCTCAGCCCAAATCAGTTCCAATGCCAAGTGTGGCCTGCGAGGAAAGAGGAGACAGGCCATCTCCGGCAGATCAGGGACAACATCCACGATATTCCCTGCATGAAGTGCTCCTTGAGGCAGTGAGTGATCCTCACCCTCTCCCCTCTCCCCATCCTCCCTCTCCCGACTTGTCTCTCAGGGAAATTGTGATCCAAATGCGCTGCAGTTGTCGGCATTGCATGTGTCTCGTCTGCTTCCGCAACATGTGTAGAGTGAAACTAGACAACAACTCTTTCGGAAACTTCGAGGGTTTTGGCTACTCTGTCTGCTGCCCAGGCACTGGTGAGAATGCTGTTAATACGGCATTACATCATAATGATGTAATCTTTTTTCCTGGCTTAGGAGCCGATTGTAAAGATGTTCCCATTCTGGATCCTCATCATTTCAAGATTGTGGACGAGAACCCTGCCATGGATGGAACCTTTGTGGGTCCCTCCCCTCTTTTCTTTCTCCTTTACTCTCCTATACAATTCATACTCTCTTTATTAAGACTGATATCCATTTCCTCTGCAGTACAAGAGGTTCAAAGACAAATCGTTGGACAACTATCGTCCGTCTGGAGACGACATTCTGTGTGTCTGTAAGAAGGAGATTACGATGTCTTCTGCTCGCTCCGTGCCATCTGAGCCAGTCAAGCAGCAAGAGGCTCAGTCAACTGTCGCAGGACAAAAGTCAGTTTGATGTGAAACAACTCACCTTAATATAGGAACCTTACCCTTCCCTGTTGATGGGTGCAGTTTTACAGGTGAAGCTGCATATATATGTGCATACGATAACATTAGTTCAGATACCAGCTAGCTAGATGTTTTCTCTTCCACTGCACAGGTGGTACTCTTCTTGGGTGAGTATCTTCAAGAAGAAGCAGGAGCCAGCCACGCCCCCTGCACCCCGCAGGACTCGCCGCAAGGCCAGCTGTGCTGACTGCAGCACCGAGTACTGCATGGAGTGTAAGATGGTCTGGCACACCGGGGACTGCCCCGTCGTCGACGACAAACAACTGAAAGAACAAGTAAATTGTCCCTTTTTCGTCTCCTAACTCGATTCTATAATGCCGTTCTTTGCTCTAGGAATTTACTATCCAGGCGGACTTGGCACGTTCTGCACAGTGGCCCAGCAAGTAGCTCTCCCCTCCCCCTCCCCCTCCCCCTTCCCAATCTCGGCTCTTGCTCCGACCTGCCCCCCGTACTGCCCCCTTTATTTGTCGTGTGATTATATTATAGTATGTGACTGTTCTATGGGTGTTTTTTGTATTCATAAACTAGTGTATGTAGAATTTTTTTAGCTTTTTTACAACATTATTTTGTTACTAGTTATACAGTACCTGTTCGCCTTTTGCGCATGCGTAATGTAGTGGGCGTGCCGCGCACGCGCGAAGTGCAGTTTGTGCAGCAGGCGATCGAACAACAATGACAGCGGTGAAGGATCGAGATGCCGGTTGAGAGCGGGCGTCGGGAGCTGCTGCAGGAGGCCGAGTTGCCTCTCTTTTGGGGCGCTGTGGCCCTCGTTTTCTTCTCCTTCCACATTGGCAGGTGAACGAGTCAGTAGCGGCCGTACAGAAGCTGAAATAGAGGAGAAGCACAGGCTACTGACTGAAGCTCCATCTCTCAGAAGACCTAGCTCCCTTACTTCCGAGCCATACACCTCTTCACCTACACTAGTGAGAAACGCTGTAAGTTATTATCTCTTTTTCTCCAGCTACCCGCTTCTCTGGTTGACGGTATGGTGCTTCGCTGGAGGCCTTCTCTCCAGTTTCCTAGTCTTCCAGTGAGTCAGAGACGGAGTGTTGCGACACAGTGTGTGTTGACCCTCTGTGGCTGTGTCCCCAGGGCCTACCCTTGTCTCCCTAACCTCCTATTCCACCTACCAGACCCAGCTACACGACGTACAGCGGTGGGCCAAATTCCTCTCTCTCTCTCTCTCTCTCGTTGTCATTCTCTCTGCTGTGTGGGTCTGCAGGTATCACCAGCTGCCAATGGCCACCCCAGACCCACTGTGTCATGCCCCGTGTGTTCCCAGGACAACTGCCTTCGTCATCCCAACCAGCCTGCTCGCCAGTACCTCCAGGTTTGTATCTCCCTTCCTCCTCACCTCCTCCATCTTCTCTCGGTGTCTGTCTGCAGCCATGGGATGGTCTGACAGTGCCTTCTACTGTGGACACCGCACTAACTAAAGTATGTCTCCCAATTCCCTCCATTCCTCTCTCTCTCTTCCCAATTCTCTCCATTCCTCCCATTCCTCTCTCTCTTTCAGTTTTTAGAGCTAGTTTTGGAAAAATTCATCTACTCTTGGCAAAGGTACATATACACGTACAGTATATTGTGAGGGTCTTGTTGTATGCAGTGCACTGATGTACTAATGTGGGATATACTGATGAACTATGACACAGATAATCGCCCACTTTTTCGACTCTTTGTTTCCATAGGAACCTTCTCCATGACGATGCATTTGTGGACGAGGTCCGTGTGTCCATCAGACATGCAGCCTCAGTTGTTCTCAGGAGGACCCAGCAGGTAGTGGTTTATCTTTCCTTCAGTATGCTATCATTTGAGTATTCATTAAATGTTGGTGTTTTCGATTGTGTCCATATTTGGTGAGGGTGCTAAATGTAAATGCAATTTACGTCACTGTTGGCATGGTGACGGCATGTTTGTTGATATTGTCGGACATGGAATGTGGTAATTGGCCGGTGTTCCTGACCCTACAGATCGACATTCCATTGCTGATTACTGGCAAGATAATGAGGGTTGCGGCTGCACACTTTCACACCTGTCTGAAGGCCAAAGAGAAGTGTAAGGGACCACCGACCTTCTCTTCCTCTCTTTACCTTCATCCAGTGGAATGTTATCTACGACGTACTTTCTGTTTTTATTTTTTTAAAAACATGGCCTAAACATTTTGTTGATCCGTTAGTTCAAGCCTCTTATAGGTGCCCTACAACATTATACTGGTATATAGGGTCTGTGGGGTGAGCAAGTTTTATTTTCATGCACCTGGTAACCCAAGGGAACCATTCCTCTCCTGCTCAGTACCTGCAGGAGCAGACGTGTGCAAGCTGGAAGCCGCTGTTCTGAAGGAGCTCGGAAGCCACACCCACTCCGCTCTCCGAGGACCGACGGCAGAAACCCACTATTTTCATCACCTCTTGTCTTCAGCCCTCCCTCTCCTCCTCCCCTCACATCACAACCAGAGCAGGTGGTCATGTGATCATCGTCTCTGGTCATGTGACTGTCACATGATCTTTCTGCAGGGTCATGCGAGAGCTCCTTCAGGAGCTGTTTGCTGCCAAGGTGTTTGTCCCTGCACTTCACTTTGTCTCCAGACCAGTGAGTGCTGCATCATGTGATCATCACATGACTCTCACATGATCCCTGGCCCTACAGGAATTTGTGAATAAGATATTGACCATCGTCTTCAACAAGGGCTCTGTAAGTTCATATGTAAGAGGCAAAAGTTCTATTTAATCCCCACCTCCCTCAGAGGGTACACAAGACCGTCGTTCCAGCTCCTCGTGATGTTCAATTCCTCGCTGCCTTTGCCCAGCGACGCAGTCCGACCTTTGGACCCCTGCGTCCCTCTCTCGGCTCCGTCGTGAACACACCCACCGAACTGTATGGCTTCATTCAGTACATGAAGTCTGTGGAGGCCATAGGAGTGCTGAACCTCTTTCTGACACTCAGTGAGTCAGATATACGACACACGTCAATGATTCCCTCTCCCCTCTCGGGCGAGAGGAATGTAGGAGAGGAAACCGTCTAATGGATTAAGCGCTTGGGTTCGATTTAAAGGGGGTCAGGCTGGACAGGGTACGGAGGTTGTTTGTCCTTGATCGCGTTCTCTTTTGATATGTTGATGGCTGTTGGGATGCGTGGGCAGGTGTTAGCCCCAGGATGTTATCTGACGTGGTGGAGCTTATTCAGAGGTCTATGGTGCGATGTTGCGGCCCGCTTTTCTGTGGGGTTTCTGGGCCCGCCAGTGGCTGGGAAGAGAGTTTGTGCCCTGGGGACGGGCGCCTTGTTGAGTTGGTTGAGTGAGAAGCTGGAATCTTTGCAGTCTGTTTCAGTTGCTGCCAGGTTAACCGCGGCCTCTGCTAGGCGTAGGATTCTTCCTTGTGACGCGCGGGGCGGCAGGGGGAGGTTACCGGATGCTGCTTGGGGCGGACCTATGACTCCGGCCCGGAAGGCCCAAAGCTTACCCGGCCGATTAGGTACCACGAGCGGTACCCCGTGGTACGGAGGAGGGTTGGCCCCTTAGTATATTTGGTGCCTGAGATGCATAGGCGCAAGGAGCTAACGTGCTTCCCAGTCCGTCGGGGCAGCTCCCTGCTCCCCCAGTTTTCTAGTCGCAACCTCTGGGGTCGCCAGCGTCACAGTCGAGTTGGCCCTTTCGACCTTGACGCTGCAGAGGGTGGTGTTCGATTCCGAGGAGCTTGGGCTATGGTTCTGGCTAGCTAGTGGTGTAGTTCTGGCCGCGAGGTGGTGCCGGCGGCTGGGTATGTGTGATGGTATGCCCGATGCTGTCGAAGAGATCCTGAGGACGTAGGGGATCGTGGGTGATATCGTATGGGGAGACGGTTAAAGGCGGCCCGGGAGGCCGGCTGGGGGTTGCATAAGATCCGTGAGAGGTGTTTTGGAGTACATTGCGGTGTGGAGCGGTGTGTGTTCATGGTTGATTCACCGGGCTGAGGGGAGAGGCGCACGTGTAGCTTGGGCTCCCCCGGCCCGGGATCCGTGAGCTTGAGTGATTGTTAGTCGGTACGTTGGAGCCGGTGGTGTTGGAGGGAGAGGCAGGAGCTTAGGGAGGAAGTTGGTGGCGATGACGTGGTGGGCGGATGGGGGGCCGCTCAAAGTTTGGTTCGTGCCAGCCGTTAGCTATATGGTCTCCAGGCCCCCTAGTATCCGGCTGAGGGACGTGTCGTTTGAGTGATTGGCGGGGTTGCAGAGCAGAGTAGGTGTGTAGTTGTGAGCTGTAGGCCCCCAGTGTTCCTGGGCCTCGCGCTTCGTGGAAGTGTGGGGGCGTTGAGTTCCCGGTGAGTTTTGGAGGGAGAGGGTCGGCGCCCAGGGATAGCTGGTCCTTTAGGTCGATGTGTGGGTGCAGGCTGCGGGTTAGGTGGCTGGAGTCATTCCAATGGCTAGGGCGAGTTTGGTTGTTTCTATTCTGGTTGTATGTTGTGCAGTGTCTCTTGTTCTCTTCGAAGAGATGCCACCCCACGCTGGCCACTGAGTAGTGCTGAGCTAGCGACGATCTCCTGCGTCACGCCCCGTTTAGCCCTCTCGGGGCACATGTCCACTGTACGTTCTGGTTGTGGGGAGTTCGGATGCCCTTTCAATGGTCTCGAGATCGGTTGTGGCGACGCAGCGTATGAAGTAATTGGCGATATTGTCTGAGCGCGGGGTGGCCCCAGTGTGGGAGATTCGCCACAGGTATGGGGTGGGTCTAGGTCTAGGCTTGCGAGGGTGCGCGTTGAGGGCGTAGGAGGCGGGCCTTTGGCCCGTTCGTGATTAGCGGAGGCGGGTTCGCACGCCCTGCGCGGACGGTGGTATGAGGGTGAGGTTTCGTTGTGGGATAATCTTAAAAGATGCTAGTAGCGAGGTGAGCGCACCCTCCCGTTTCAAAGGATCGTGTCCTCTTTGGCAGTTTTCCGCGCCTTTTTTTGGGAGTGCTTTTTCAGCGGGAGTTCTCGGCCACCGTGAGGAGCAGCCCATGGCTTCCGCCGATGCAGCTATGTCCTTGCCCTCTGTAGCCCCCACCTTCCACGTTTCGTCATGTGGGGGGTTCGTTCGGTAACAGAATGTGCACCGAGCGGATCTTTCCGTCAGGGAATGGGGGTATTTAGGGGGAAATTCAGCAAGAAGGTGTTTAGTGGGTTTCCTAGAAGGGTCTCCCAGCGTCTCCCCCTCAGGCGGGGCGTTAGGGGAACCTCCATTCGATTGGGGAGTTTGGGTGCAGGGCGGCATGTCGGTCCCGATAGTGATGAGGCAGGGTGAGTCGCCGAGGCCGAAGCCCCTGCCAAGCGCGGCGTGGCTGGGGGGCGTAACGTACCAACCCTTTTCTCGGAGTTAGTGCTGGTCGGCGAGTGCCCTTGAGTAGGCAGGTGGGCGCCCTCGGCCGAGGGCTCAGTCGGATCCGTTTTTTGCGAGAGACGGGAGGGTGGAAGTCGTAGGGCCTGTAGGCTTGGCGTTAAAGCTGGTGGCGAAGCGGCAAGTAGATGGATTCGGGGCTCCACGCTGTTTGGTATGGGTAGTATGCGGGAGCCGTCGTTCGCTTTGGTTTCAGTGCTCGGTTGCAGTGGGCCCGATGTCGGTAGTTTCCTCGGTATGTTTGCTCTGTTGTGGGTCCTGGAGCGGTTGTTTCCGGGAGGCTTCCACGAATGGGCGTTTTGCTACGGCCTTGCTGGGTGACAGCGATACTAGGCGTAGGGGGTCTCAGTTCTCGCCTTTCCACTGGAGGTGGAGGAGAGAAGGAGTCCAGCTCTGAGGTTTTGTCGCGGTGGCCGGCCAGTTGAGGTGAAGCGGGTATAGTCCGTGTCTGTCGCGGCAGGCTTAAGTCACCTTGGACGCGAGTGGGAGGAGGAGGTTTTTAGGGGTCTAGGGGTTGGGTCCCTATGTTATTTCTGAGCCTTGGTGATATGCGCGAGCTGGTAGAGACAGGTCTTCAGCGGAGTCGGGGGCTCAGCTCCAGCCGGAGGGAGTGGAGCTGGACGAAGAGGGGTGGATCGCCGGAGGGAGGGATGCGGAGGCCCAAGTGGATGGGTGGGGGCGGCAGGGGAAGCTGACGAAGTGCCGGGTCGGAGTCTGGTAAGCTCGAGCCTGGAGGTTGGATAGAGGCAGCAGGAGAGGGGAAAGGGGTCGGGGAAGGGAGGGGGGAGAGCAGGAGTCTGAGGTTAGGTAGAGGGGGAGGGCAACAGGGGAGAGGAGTTGATAGGGAGCCGGGGAGGTAAAAAAAGGAGCTAGAGAAACCAGCTGTGGACGACGAACAACTCTCCAGCTCTCTGGCGTCGCTGCAAGCTCTTCACCAAACTCACCTCTCCCCCTCCCTCGTTCCTCTCAACCCAGACCCCACCCCCTCACTGGCTGCTGCTCTCTCTCCCTCGCTGAGCCCCGCCCAGAGGTGGGCGTGTCTGCGGGACTCTCGGCTGGTCCAGAGATGTACCATCAGGTCTACCAACTACTGGAGGATACCTACTACCCTCACTACTGCCAGAGTGAGCAGGTGGGTCCCATTCCCATTCCCTCATTCACCCATTCCCATTCTATTATTGTCATTCTCCATTCTTACATTCTCCAATTCCTCACTCATTCCTCATACTCTGAAACTATCACTTTTCCTTTTGCCCGTCCTCTGTGTGCGTCCGACAGTTCTATTCCAGGTACCTGGTACCGCAGTCAAATGGGTTCAAAGGTCGTACGGAACGTGGGCAACACCCCTCGTCTGGAACGAGCAGCTGAGAGGAGGCGTGGCCGAGTTTCCCAACTCTCCGCCCCCTCGTTGGAGGACCTCAACAGTGACTCCAGATCAGAGGTTTGAGCACGATGTAATGATGATGTCATTAGTTATTATGTCACGGAATTTAGCACTCTGACTCTGAGTGTGATTCCGGGGACTTGGTACCAGTCCCGGCCAAGGTCCAGATTGTGGATCAGGAGACCCAGTCTGGAGTCAAGCCACACACCATGTACGTCATACTCAGCTGGTGGGAGGGAGATGGTGAGGAGAGAAGAGAGGGGGTGTATAGAGAGGATTTACTGACGTTTCTTTTCTCCTACGACAGAGGGGAAGTCAAAGACAATGAAAGTCAAAAGGTGAGTCTCTCTCTCTTCTTTCCTCTCTGATTTGACCGTGCAATCAATTCTCCGCAAGATATAATAAGGAATTCTATGTTGTTTTACTCCATACATACCTAATACATACATTCATAATGTGTGCAGGAGGTTCAAAGAATTTGCTGAGTTGGACACTCGACTCCGACAGTTTTACGGTACATTAATTATACATCTCTCTCTCTCTCTCTCTCTCTCCTTGTACCTCTCTCTCTTCTTACTGCAGCTGATCTGCAGCTCCCTCCTCTACCGTCCAAGAGAACGCTGCGGAACATGGACAGCTCATTCGTGGCAGGGAGAAGCCGAGACCTAGAGACATACCTGCAGGCCCTCCTGCAGCTGCCCCCCATCAGCTCCAGCCACCTCCTCTCCTCCTTCCTCTCCAATACGTCCGACCCTTCCCTCTTCATGCCTGACTCCATGGGAGAGAGGGCCGGTATGCCATGTTCCCTCTCTCTTATACTCCTCTGCTGTATGGGTTGCATTTTGGCTGAGTAAGCAGATTGTGAGTTTCGGCTAAGAAAGGAGATTTAACCCCAGCATTGTTCATGGCTCAATAATCAATTCAGATTCCTAATGAATACTGCATTCATTTCACGAGTATCTCTGCTTTTCAGGAAAGATGATCAAATCAGTCACTGTCCCCGGACGAAACAAAGAGGTATCCACTTTCACATGACATAATGATGACGTCATTTACCATGATGTAATCCATTTGTAGAAGGGGTTGTTACTGACGGATCTGTTGCAGAGATTGGTCCAGACCACAGAGACTGTGTCCTCACAGCCGAGGTGAGGAGAGAGAGAGAGAGAGAGGAGAGAGAACAGAGGAACTGTCATCCACGTGCAGCGAGGAGGTAATAGAGAGGGTAGCCATGGCAACGAGACAGTGGGAGGAAAAGACGGAGACGTACCAGCGGCAGTTGGAGGAAGATCTGTCTCATTCCCAGACCAGTCGGTATGGACCCGTGACACACACTAAACCTTGTGTCATGGTATGTGTACCATACAGCATTAAACCAGGGGAGAGGGCAAGAGATACACCAGGTAACACAGATACACAGATCCTCTCTTTCCAACGAACTATACCCACTCTCCTCTACCTCACACACACACCCTCAGAGCCACTGGAACTGGAAGGAATCATGGATCTAGTGGTCTACATTGGTATGTCCTCCACCCAGCAACCTCTCTCTCATCTTTACCTTGGCAGCTGTGAGGGTGTTCAAGGTGACTCAGCTCCAAATGGCGGTCCTCCTCCTGATCAAGATGTTGGGTCAGAGAACTATTGAGACCTACATTCACCAGTCAGTTGGGGGTGGGGCTTATTGCCACGGTCACCAAATCTTACTATATATAAACAAATCTCTCTTTCTCTCTCGTCAGTTTTGTGTCAAGAAAGGTGGAGCTGCTGTCTCAAGAGAGGGTGTTAGCTGAGCTCATCGCACTAATCAGAGGTCAGAGGTCATTCCAATGATGTAATGATTAAACCAAACCTGTTTGTTCACACTAGATAACCTGTTTCCTGGAGCCGGCAATCCTCCAGGGTAAGGCCCTACTCATTACAGCCACTGTACATGAGAGCGTGATATCAGACTGGATTCTCTCTCATCCAGAGAGGTGGTGGGGAGATTGTCTGGGGAGGAGGGAGACTTGGCTTGGCGGGCCCTCGGCCAGCTCCTCAGCTACCCTCCAGAGCTCCTGGTGACTGCCCTTGGACAGGACCGGTACAGAGGGGGTGTGGTCATCTTGTTTGAGTTTCTCCAGTGCCACGCCCTCAACAAACAGGTGTGCTGAGTGTGCTCCCTCTCCATATAATATGCATGTCTCCAACAGTGGTTGGAAATCATCTCGGGCAGTTCTTTTTTCACACAAGTGAATATACAACTTGGCATATCAAATCTTCCTCTCTCTTGTTGCAGCTGTTCTACTCTCTGCTGGATGTCATAGTGACGGAGTTGTTCCCCGAGCTCAACCACACCACAGACCAACATTCCGCATGAGCACCATGGCAACTGATTGTCAATCACCCCAGCGTCACACTTGCCACACACAAAGTTATATTTTCTTATGTGGAGAGAAAGCTATCATCAGTAATCACAAAAATTCAAAAATGTGATATTGTTAGGCGTAAAGTACAATTATTGAAACATCGAAGAATGACCTACATTACATAATCTGAGATAATTGTTAGTGTGATTCCTACATGATGGCAACTTCGGCCATAAATTGGTAAATCTCGTTAAGAAATTAATGCTACATAATATGTTCTAAATTTGTGTGAGGTGTGGGGTCAAAGGTCAGATGTTACTCTCGTCCGTGGGGTCGTGGCCGGTCTGTTGGGTCTGCTCCAGACGGCGGTGACGGAAATTCTCATAGTGGACCTTGTCTGTTGTCTCCTTTAGATCCTGCAGGTGGGTCCTGGGCAGACAGGGGTTAAATTATTATTATTACAAACCATAGGGAAAGAACGCCTGGGTACAGAGGGGTTAATTACACACCATTGGGAAAAAGAAGTTGAATGTGATGTAATGATGACATCATTTCGTGGTCTATGGGCAGTGCATGCACTAGACTGCATAACTACCTGTGAAGATTATCGCAAATGAAGCATGAAGCCTTGATACACATATTATTTAGTTGGCTAGGGGTTAAAGTGGTAAAGGGGGTGTGGTCACCAACTTGATGAGCATGTCCCTCAGCTGAGAGAACTCGCAGTGTTTCCTGTTCTCCACTTCGATGAATCCCCACTTGGTCTGTCTCCCCAGCAGTTTCTTACCCCCCACAGCCACTTCACGGTCGCTGCCTATCACTGCAAATGGGATGTATTGCTGCCGCGGTGGAAGGGGGAGGGGCAGGGAGGGGGAGAGAGAGAGAGAGAGGAGAGAGAATAATGGGCAAAAATCAAGTGCGAAAAATTGCAAAGTGATACTGAGAAAAGTTGGTACATGACAACGTTCTGAAATTCTGGTATCATTATTTTTGTCAAGCTTTGTGCCAATGTTTGGGTTATTCAAATAAAGTGTGGCAGAGAGAGAGAAGGGAGGGAGGGACAGAGACAGAAGTAGACACCTCAATCTTGTGATTAGCGGCAGCATCCTCCTCGTCCTCGGCGCCGTAGGCTGTGGGGTAGATGTTGATGCCGTGGAAATGGAGGTCTTCCTTAATCCTCTGTTTGAAGCTGTCCCTCTCCTCGATGGTGAGGGTATCGGCCTTTGCGATCACCGGGACGACGTTCACAAAACCGTGGAGGTGCTTCATGAACTCCACGTCAATGGGACGAAGGCTGGGGGTGGGAGGAGAGAGGGGAGATATATTATAACAACGCAAGAGAATACAACCACAACAGTTTTGCAGGTATTAAACAAGTTTTTCACAAAAGAGAGTGTTTATTGGCCAACCAAAAGATTTTTTCTCCCAAACACTAAGACATATCTAACTCTTCTCCCTCTCTGGTAGGTCTCACCTGTGTCCAGTCGGAGGAATGAAGTAGAGACAGCAGTGGACGCGAGTGTCTGGGATCACCTTCTTCCTATTAATGCTCACCTCCTCGTTGAGGTAGCGATCAAACTGTTCATTCACAAACTCGGCGATTGGCTCCCAACACTTGTCGTTGTTGACCTGGTCTCCGAACCCTGGGGTGTCGGTCACAGTTAGCTTCAGACGGACTCCCTGCTCTTCTATCACTGAGGGAGGGAGGGAGGGAGGGAGTGAGGGAGTAAGAAGAGGAGGTAGAACCAAGGCAGAGACACAACACATTAAGCCTGCCAAATTCCTGGCAACAATCAACGAGTTAAACTATGCACCACCAGTAGTGTCTACAATGCCAATTCATACTGTACTGGCGTACCATGACTGACAGACATGACCTCGGTGGTGGGCGGAACCACATGGGGACCGGGAGTGGCTGCGGTGCGGCTGATCTTGGCACGGAATAGGGTATTGATGAGAGTCGACTTCCCCAATCCAGTCTCCCCTGATGAAGAGGGAGAGAGCGATGAGTGCTATATGCCCAGGCTATGAATAATCTATGACACCATTTCAATCAATGACAGAGTTAACAAACACAGTGAGGCGAACAAAACGGAGGCTGAATTAAAACATTTCACTGCGTCATTGCCATGGAAACCATGCAATGTCGTACCTACGACCATGAGATTGAGCTCAAAGCCTCGTTTGATTGATTTCTTCTTGATCTGCTCCTGGATCGTGTCGAATCCAACGTAGCCGCTCAGCTTCGTGGACAGGTTACCCCAGCGAGTGGTTTGGGACATTACGTCCGCCATTAGCTCCAGGAACTCGGCAAACGACATCGTACCGTCTCCTGCGAGGGGAAGAGAGGTGAAGAAAAACCTCTGACAAAGGACCCTCCGAATAATGGACACCTCTCTACCCTCTCTACAAAGGACACTCGGTTCTGCCCCATACTAATATGCTAGTGTAATAATTATAGTACCTCTAGGGACACCTCTATAAAGGACACGTTTGATGTCTCAAGGTGTCCCTTATTCAGAGGTTCCACTGGATATACACGTACGAGGGAAAGGGGAGGAAAGAGAGAGGAGAGAAGGAAAAGAAGTGGCTGGTTCATTAGGTTCAGTAGGAAAGAGAAACGGCTCCATTGACTCATCTCACACCCAGGTCCATACTCACCTTCCCTCTGACTGACCCAGAACTGGATTAGCTGCAGGTCGCTCTCCTTGGCAGTGGATCCCAGGACCTTCCCTGCCAGTGACGGTACGACGCTGGTAGGCACGTTCCCTGATTCCTCCGTGTCAGCCCCTCTGAAGATCTTGGCTATTACTGGAGGAGGACGGAGGGAGAAGAGAGAGAGAAGAGGGTTGAAGACATTGGTTTAATCACCGAGAACCAGCTCTACTAAATATACCAAGGCACCTAGGCTTAACACAGTTAAAAACACAGTGGCGTTGGTAGGTAAACACGGGAGAGTTGGTAGGCAAAAGACACGGTATTATGTGACGAGGTAGGTGACATGCTAAGCTTTCCCGCCAAATTGCGGGCTCTCACTTACCATCGTATTGGCCCTGCGTGAGGATAATGCCTGCCTCCATGTCTGACAGTTGTCTCTGTCTCTCCTTTCTTTCTCCACAGACAAGATTTCGACTTTAGAGAGTCAACGTCTCCCTAGCTCACACACAGTCCACACCCAAGTCGAGGAATGTGCCGTAATTTTGATCGACTTTCTCTAATTACGCGAAACGCTGCATAATATCAAACTGAGGCGGGAAAGTCAAAATCATGGAGTGCACGTTCCAGTCTCTTCCCTTCCTGGTGAGCTCCTATAGCAGCGAGTAGAGGGTTAACTGGTGTTTCTTCCTCAGTTTCCAGAGAGCCAGAGACCTGTTCTCCTGGCCTGGAGAGAGGCGGCAGTCCAGAGAGAGATGAGACAGGCCCGCAGGAGACGTGAACAGCTGCATCGGCTGAGACAACAGGTAGCTCTCCGCCTCCTCCAACATCAGTCAAACCAGTTGAAACAGTCAAATGAGAACCAGGTGCAACAGTCAAACCAGTCAGACCCGTCAAACAAGTCAAACCAGTCAAGGCAGTGGGACCTATCAACCGATTTTAACCAGGAGAGAGAGCCAGTGCAGCCAAACCCATTGGACCATATGAACAGGGATGACCAGTTGACACATCACCACTCAGACCAGAGCCTGGAAAATCAAGTATGTATGAAAATTGAAACTTGTCAGTTGTTACCTGTGCACCACCAGGGACCACTGTACCAAGACCTTCCCAGTTCCACTGAGGTCCTCAGCGAGTCCAACTGGAGTACCCCAATCTACTCCAAATCACTACCCCAGAGTGAGGTATACCCCATGCCATTACTCCGGAGTGAGGAATACTCCAGGCCACTACCCCAGAGTGACGTTTACTCCAAAGTGACAGCAATGGTTCGAGGGTTTCTCACCAGACGACTGCTACAGAGCGCCAAGATCAGCCCTCTCACTACCACTATCAGAGTTAGCCCCTCTCATTAGCAGCTGCCCTTAGTGGATTGGGGGACAATGGGAAAGTATCTGAACATTTTGATTCCCCCCAATGACTATATAGTGTAGACCGCCAATGAAGTGGGTTTTGTTCCTATAAGTGTGGTTTTGTCACCTCTGTGCAGGATGGAGGTGAAGTGTTGGCTGGTCTAAATGAACCTCTCTCTACACAAGACATTGCCTTAAGAGACAGAGTCCACACTCAGGTATGTAGGTCACCTGGCAACTGCACCCTACAACCTGTTGGAACGCCTCTGCTTGTCCTCCTGTCCCCTTTCTCTCTCTCTCTCCTCCACTAAAGATGCAGTTGGCCCGTCTGAAGCTGCTGGGGGTAGTTCAACTGTCAGTGGGAGAGAGAATGGCCTTCATTTCTCACGACAGAGCACTTCGCACACAGAGGAGGGAGAGGGAAAAGGTGAGGAGAGGAGAGGGGGAGAAGGTGAGGAGAGAGGGAGAGAGGGGAGAAGTGTATATAGGGGACAGAGAAAAGAGTGGGAGATGAGGGGTAATAAGGTGAACTCAGTGTCCTAATATGGAGTGACTCCTACACTAGGCTAGGAGATGTCAGGAAATGCCATTTTTTTACATCTGAATCATGCCTGTGGCAGACTACCGGCTCCACACCATTGTTTACCACATACATCACATGCACACCTGCCCACACAAACTCTTCCTCAGCCACCCACATGTTGGAGTCACCACATGAGGTAGACTGGGAGGTGTAATGCAACCCTCAGGCCACTATATTATACCAACTGGCATAGCTGAGCTGCCACCAGTATAGAGCTCGTGAAATATGAGAAAAAACAAAGCATATTCTGCCACCCGCACCACATGGGGGGGGCTACTACGCTCAGGAGTTGAAATCCATATTTTTGTCTGAACTTCGTGTGATGTGGTGGCAATACCTATCACTGTAGTATTGTGGGGTCGGTGCAGATATGACGGTGTGGCCATGTATTATGGGTGTGTACACGTGACGCAGGTGGTGGCATCATCCACTGGTCGCAGCGGGAAACTGTCTACTGCCACACAGAGGGCCATGCAGAGGAGACAAGAGTCTCTGTCTGCCATTTCTTCCCCTGTGCCTCGCTCAACTCCTACCAAACCAGTTTCAAAACCAGCTGGGCAAGAATCTGTATCTACTTCAGTGCCCCGCTCAACTCGTACCAAACCAGTTTCAAAACCAGTTGGACAAGAATCTGCATCCACTTCAGTGCGCCGCTCAACTCGTACCAAACCAGTTTCAAAACCAGTTGGACAAGAATCTTCAGTGCCCCGCTCAACTCGTACCAAACCAGTTTCAAAACCAGTTGGAGCAGGAAGCAGGCAGCGATCTCCAGATAAGACAGAAAGACCTTGTCCTATAGGACAAGGTACCAGGACACTTCAGACACCACGAACAGCTGCAAGGCATGGTGTGGTCAAAACAACTCGTCCTAAAACCTCAGTACAATCTATAGGACACGCTCGTCGTAGCACCGGAACCAGATTATCAGGACAGGCTAAATCAGGACAGCGGAAGCCAACAAATTATCTGAAGAAAGCACCCTTTACCTCTTCCTCAAAGAAACAATAGACTCTAATTATCCCCTCTCCTCCCTCCCCTCTGCTATTCATTATCAGAACTGTTGCAACTTTCCAAAACTCTAGTGAAAAACATTCTCTGTGGCTTGTTTCTTAAACAAGAAATAGTTATGAGATAACATTTCGTTGTTTTACATAAACTGAATGTGAAACTAAAGAGTGGTTAATGCACTGGTGTGGGAGTCAGTGAGGAGGGGGAATTGTGCCTGGTACTACGGTAGAGTACGTCAGACTAGGACCATCCACCACACACCATTTCAGAGTCACTCCAGACGATGGCTGGATGGCAGCGAGCTGGGATAGGAGGGAGGGGGAAGGGAATGGGTCGCGAGCAGATGCCACGCATACTCTAAACTGCGGAGGGCTGGGACTAGATTTCTTGAACTTTGACCCTGGTCTGTATACCTCCAGTAGCGACCTGCAGTGGTAGAAACGTAAGGAGATAGCTATGGACTAAGGTCGATGGTACAAATTTCGTAGTACCAGAATTCGTAGGAAGAAACAAGAGCTACCGTGAACCCATTGGCCCATTCCAAAACGACGCTCAATGCACCGATAAGGTGATGCTGTCCTTCCTGTCACCATGAGTGAGAGAGACACACGACACCAAACAAGAGCATGTTGCAGCTGCTGCGCTGAGCAGCCGGCTGTACGCTGTGTGTGTGTGTGTGTCCCATGGTTACCTAAACACAGAGGAAGTGTTATTGCGTTCTCCACTTACACGTCTGAACCAAGTCACTTACTTCAATGACTTGGTTTTCATAACTTTCCCCAGCATGTACATACAACACAGTTGCCATGGCAGTAACACAGACACATGTCACAGGGTCACCCTGTAATCTAACTGATTATTGTATCTATTTCTGAATTGGGTCAAGAATGTGTGCCCAATTCGTCACAGCAGGCAAACAATGTACTCCATACGTTAGTGAAATTCCTATCATTCCAGCCCCCCAACTTACACGCAATCGAATCGCTGTGGGCGACAGACAGATTACATTCCATGCATATTTATTATTATAGCAGGAGTGACGGAATAATACCTCACAAACCTCTAGTGACGCAATAATCTCGGACAATTACATGCCTCGTGCATACAGTAAAGTTCACGTAGATTTTTCAAACCATATCAAAGTCCGCACTAGTCTGCGGATCTCAGTGGACGTATAATTATACTTAGCAGTGATCGGGAGTGATGTCAAGGACATGTACTATAACCTAACATTCCTCCAGATTAGTGGAAGATACTGAACACCCACGACCACACACACACAGACACACACACACACAGGCAGCTAGCCAGGGTAAGTGCATGGATGAAGTAGTTGAGCTCACTGAAGTGGGGGTGAGGAGGGAGGAGGCATTGGGTGACAGAGAGGACAAGATGGCACCAGCTCCAACCTAGCATCTGGAGAGGAAGGAAGGGAAACAAATAATAATCAAAGAGGTCAGGGTTCACAAACCCCCATCTTCGAAACTGTTTCGCTCATTAACCTCTGGCTCCCCACTTACCACCTGTTTGCTGCTAGAGCAACGTGACTGCAGGTGCCCGCTAACAACAACACACTCAGAGAACACTGGTCAGAAATTCACTATACTACGTGAGTGATTAGGCCAGAATGCCTGCACTGAGATAATGCCAGAGGTAAACCAGCTAGGTCAGGCTAATTAGGCCACAAACATTGTGTCAGTGAATAGACTCACCTATTGTTATGCCAGCTGAAGAATTTGCGTCTGAATCTGTGTTTGGAGATAGCCAGCTAAAGGAAGGAGAGAGGAGAGAGAGAGGGGGTAAAGAGGAAAGGGGTAGTGAGAAGAGTAAAGAGAGAGGAGAGAGAGAGAGTTTCGTGCATTTGGGATGAGCTAAGAGAAATAAGCAAACAGTGAATGTTTATTACTGAGCTCATGTTGACGTCTGTTGGGACAGCCAGTGTGTGCATACAACGTGCAAACTACACAATGGGTGACACGCACGAGAGCAAACACCAGCCACGTACAACAATAATGTATTTCTCCACAAGCTGTCATTCTAATGTAATAATGAGCGACTGAAATTACACTTGAACAATAATCAGTCCTGTACAAGGCTGTCACCAAATATGGTTATTTAGTCTGGAGGTCACGTAAAAGGCGTAGGGCCATGGCCGAGGTCCCACAGGTGCTGTAGGACAGTAATGGTTCTAAATAATAACAGAGTGTGAGATGTAGACTATAGGCAGACACATATTGTCTCGGAGAGTTCTTGGCACGTATGCGGAGGGAGACTGGAAAAGGTTTTGTATCGCGTTTGCCGGCCAAGTGACACTCAAATTATGCAAAGAGCTGTTAGCGATTATTAGCCGCTGTGCATTCCGGTCCTGCGTGCAGAGCCAGCTGCTAACTGGATTAGTGGAGAGTTGCAGGCGCAGAGTCCCACAACATTACGGGAGTGAGGTCGGCAGAGAGCATAACGTGAGTGTTGGTTGAGCTGACCAAATGCAAATTGGGTCGTTTTGGGAAGAGAGCAGTTTTGGCAACATTTCGCCGCAGCCTCACCCAACCGAAAGCAATGTTTTCAGGAGAGAGTGGAGTGTGAGTTACGGAGAGGTGGGAGAGGGAGGGACCGGATTTACCCACTGGCCAGCCACTACACTGCCTGACATACACTCCACTCAAACCACGCCGCACTTTCAATAAGAGACCCGTCCCGAAAATGTTGTTTTTCTGGAGAGAATTGAGAATTCCAAGAAAAGGGTCGCCTGTGTGCCTAGCGCCCTGCTCCGGGAGTGTTTTGGGTTGCGTGTGGCAAATGGTTGTGAACGAGATGAGGCTAACAAATGGAAAGCTATGCCTGAGAACATGTGTCTTGGGGATTGATGTAACGGCCTGTATAACCTACACACAAACATGCTTTACATGCTGCGTTTAAAGACAGACACACCACGTGGGTATACTCATAGTGTAGATTAGCGGTGCAAACACTTGGGTAGCTGCTGAAATGACAGGCCACAAGAGCCGGTAATGAAATTGAGTATCAAATCTGTGCCACTGTGTCATAGTATACTGACAGACCTGACAAGACATCGCTTCACCACAAAACCACTTCTCTTCAGCGAGGCTATCACCTGCATGAGAGAGGGAGAGAGAGTGCATGAGAGAGGGAAAGAGAGTGCATGAGAGAGGGAGAGAGAGTACATGAGAGAGGGAGAGAGTATAGAAGGGAGAGAGAGTACATGAGAGAGGGAGAGAGAGTACATGAGAGAGGGAGAGAAGTCTGAGAGAGGAAGAGCGAGATGGAGAGGGAGAGAGAGTACATGAGAGAGGGAGAGAGAGTACATGAGAGAGGGAGAGAGAGTACATGAGAGAGGGAGAGAGAGTACATGAGAGAGGGAGAGAGAGTACATGAGAGAGGGAGAGAGAGTACATGAGAGAGGGAGAGAGAGTGCATGAGAGAGGGAGAAGAGTACATGAGAGAGGGAGAGAGAGTACATGAGAGAGGGAGAGAGAGTACATGAGAGAGGGAGAGAGTACAGGAGAGGGAGAGAGATGCATGAGAGAGGGAGAGAGAGTACATGAGAGAGGGAGAGAGAGTACATGAGAGAGGGAGAGAGAGTGCATGAGAGAGGGAGAGAGAGTACATGAGAGAGGGAGAGAGAGTACATGAGAGAGGGAGAGAGAGTACATGAGAGAGGGGAGAGAGTGCATGAGGAGGAGAGGAGAGAGAGAGAGTACATGAGAGAGGGAGAGGAGTACATGAAGAGGAGAGAGAGTACTGATAGAGGGAGAGAGAGTACATGAGAGAGGGAGAGAGAGTACATGAGAGAGGGAGAGAGAGTACATGAGAGAGGGAGAGAGAGTACATGAGAGAGGGAGAGAGAGTACATGAGAGAGGGAGAGAGAGTACATGAGAGAGGGAGAGAGAGGAATGAGAGAGAGTACATGAGAGAGGGGAGAGATGAGAGGTACATGAGAAGGGGACATGAGTAGAATGGAGGAGAGGGAGAGAGAGCTGTAGACTCACAGTGTACTCCTGCAGAGTAAGGGAGTCACAGATGATGGTGCCATAAACCTGCCAGTGGGGAGAGGGAGAGTTATGTTTAGCCAGTGGAGAATACAAACAGAGACACCTGTTGAAGGTTTGCATGTCCACCAGCTATCTCCACCTCCAGACAGCCCTGGGACAGCCAAAGACAACACTTTTCTCACACACACAAACAAACACCCCCAGCCTTTAGCTTTCAGGCAGCAAGAGCTGTTGGCTTAGGCTGGGTTCACAATATGTCTCATTATCCCGCCACACCTCCCCGATTTCCGACCTCTTGAGGATAGAATCAATTCTATCTTTGTGACACAGGGTGACAGACATACTGTGAACCCAGCCTTACACTTCCTGCCACAGGTTAAAATGGGATTAGTGATTAAGAAGTTAATTTAAGTCTCTCTGGAAAGGTGTGGTGTACCATTTCCATGAGGAATAGTGTCTCGTGGGGCTCCAGTACCAGCTGTCCAGAGTGGGTGTGGCCATGAGTTGCCCAATGACTGCCCTGGAAAATGTCACATGACTATAATTATTATACCTCATCAACGCTACTGTAGAGAGCCAAAGAGTTTGGACCAAAATCAGCCATAAACAAAGTGTGTAGAAAGCAAAACAGCAGTCTTTCTCAAGAGTGATAAAGATGTTGTGGTGGGGAGAGAGACAAGCAGTGGCATTAGCTACACAGCATGTGCATGCCAACATTAAGGTCCAGACGGCTGGACTGCAGACAGTTGTCTAGCTGTCTAGACAGAGAACAAGGTCCCCATGTCTTGTTTGCTTGTGCAAGCACCATGGTAACACATAGCAAACACAACGAAACATGTAGTTCCTGTAGCCAGTGGCATGTTGGACAAGGATTTGTACAGGGTGCATGAACATGGGGTTGACAGAGCTCCATTACTTCCAATGTACTATATAAGGCCCACACTTGCATGTGGAGGGACACACAAATACATAATGCATGACCAGCTGAACAACAGAAGTTGTACAAAATCACATGTATATACATTGTACTCCAACAAACAATACCTGACCAACCACCCAAATTCTTTGATCCACACAGATAAGGAAGGGTGTGTATTAATTAACCCCACCAACCCACAGGTCAGTGTGCTGCGCTAATGGGACTAGAAAAGTGTGTTTTGATGCACTATTAGTCTCACAGGAAGCAACAACTCCACTGATGTCATCTGACCACATCTACATTATTCATGATTTGTTATGACGCATGTCACCTAGTATCGGATAACACTACGCTCTACCTTAATGGTTCCACAACCAAGACACAAACACCGCAACAGCTGTGGGGATTACCTTCTGAGTAATGACAGAGGCAAGCTGGGTGGTCAGGTCCCATCTCACAGTGGACATCGACCTCCTTACAGGAAATAGAAAATTGGTCATCTTTATGTAATGAATTAGGTACACGCCGACTACGTATTGCTAGAGGGCGTAGGAAAGCACCACGTTTTCCGCGAATTCCAAATTGAATTTATTGGCATGGGTAACAGGTTGAGATCATCAGGTTCCAGGATCCTCTCTCATAGGGAGACTGTTGCCAACAAACAGGCTGCCGGTAAACAGCAATTCCCTAGGCAACCAGTGTAGGGAGAGGGGCATACGCAAACAGAGAGAGCCAGCTCAGACAAATACGATCCAGGAACTAGACAATTGGGCTCTTTTGGCCAATAATGGGTCTGGCCAATTTGAGAGAAAGAGAGGAGAGAGATTAGAGAATTTTAAATAGGCGCTCTGCTAGTTATGATGATGGCGCACAGTGTCAGCCACACTACATACGTATCAGATGTATGTGTGGCTGTATATTTATCAGTCACCCAGGCAAGCAGCTCGTGTTTAATTGCCAGGACACACTCCATACAGGAGTGTTGGGCCCACACTGCAAGAGATGCTAATGAGCCAATGACGTTAGCCAGCACCACAGAGGCCTCAGCAGTGAGGCACCTCATGCAGGCTGGAGAGAGAGCCCGTTGCTAGGCCAGGGGCATGTATAGCTAGGCAGAGCTGCATGCCAGAGGCAATTATCCTTTCTCCTGTTCTAAGGTTGCCAAGTGTAGACCAATAAGTAGCACCACTAATTGAGTCTGCCTCTCAGGCAGCTGAGTTCCTGGAAACTAGGCTGGTTTGGGCCTCAGTCAAAACAGGGCTGAAGGACAGCACGCTGCTGTTTGTAACTCACCTGCTGGTTGCCCTGGGCGCTGATTGCGCTGCCATCTGCCCAGACAGGTAGTGGTGAAGCTTCTCTGTCTCCTCTGGGGTTCCCTCCAGCCTCAGTCTCTTCTCCCCCAGTCCTTTGGGCAGCTTTCTGTCCTGTTTCTTCTCTCCCATAGCTGCTCTACATAGGGGGAGGTTCAGGTGTACACAATACACACCTTTTAGGTTGACTCATTTGAGGCCCAGCTCTGTATACACTACGCCATGTATAATGGTAATACATATGCGAGCCAACAGAGGGTGGCACGACAACGATTCAAACCAAAAGCTGCTAAAACGCGTAGAAGAGGCTACTGCATATATTCTGTGTACTAGGGGTTTTGTGATGATGAGTGAATGATTAAAGTACCAGTATGGATGGAGGTGAATGCCCTGTTAATGACTGTAAGAGGCTTTCCCAGTAGAGAGAGAAGTGCAGCCTAGCAACCAGAGAGGCAGAGAAAACAGTGGCAACCAGCCCAACCACACAAATATCATAATTTGATGAGGGGACATCACGCTGCACGAGGCTCAGCCGCAGGCGTGAGCACAACCTCCATCCCGGCAGACAAACTGTTGCACAACACGGACACTGGTCGGTAGTGTAAGCCATGTAGGGAGCTGGAGCTATGCAGATGAGGGCCAAGTGTTGTCTTACAATGCAGCCTGGGCCAGCGGTTCCTGGAATGCCTGGCCGGAGTCCTGCATCTGATGTAACATCTCAACATGCAGTGCTCCTCCCTCGCCTGTTCCACTGCCTACTGCGGAGAGATCAAAACAGAGCCTCTGTCAGGGGTGAGAGTGCAAACAGCAAACAAACACTTGCAGCCCACACCAGTAAACAGGTGAATATTAGTGCAGTTGATCCAACCCCTGTGACGCACAAGGGCCTTTCACCGGATATCTCAATGATTACTGACGTCAGAGATAGGTCACCTGCATATTCATAGCTCTTACTTTGTCTTGAATAGAATTCATGCCCACCCACGCAGCGTGCGTTGTGTGCGTTGCCTCGGAGGAGGAGACAAAAATGCATAATGGAGACCACACCGCGCCACTTGCAGACGTAATTTCCGCACGTAAATAAACACACACAACATCTCAGCTGTATCCGTGAGAATACCGACACGCGCCGCTCGCCGTCCCGCGGCTATAAAGTCTCGTGTTTAGACTATTTCCCACTCTTTTGCTACACCCAGAATTTTTCACCGTGTCTTCGCCGATCACTTACCAGAGATGGAGTTTGCTATCAACCCGTACTCGCCAAGCCTGTTCTCGCGGTTCCCCACCAGCTTGGAAGTGCTTCAAGCTGCGGCGGTAGCGCGACCAGCTGCACCACTGCTGAGAGCCATCGACTCCTCCAGCTCTCTAGCTCTCTCGCTGCTGGCCCGCGTCGTCTGCGACGGCGGGGAGAAGCTGATGGAGGTGCATCAACGACCTCCATTCTCCTACATCACGCTCATCTCCATGGCCATCAAGAGCTCGCCGAAGAAGAAGCTGACACTGAACGAGATCTACAACTATATCATGGACAACTTTCCCTTCTACCGCGACAACAGACGCGGCTGGCAGAACTCGATTCGTCACAACCTCTCGCTCAACGAGTGTTTCATGAAGGTCCCGCGCGACAAGGCAGACCCTCCCGGCAAGGGAAACTACTGGACGCTGGCTCCCGCGTTCATGGATGCAAGCCCCGAGGCTTGCTCCAAGCTCAACACGCGCAGGAGGAAGCGAAAGAGCGGCCAGAACAAGAAGTCGGAGGTGTGTGGAGAATCGCAAGAGCGCCTTTCTCCATCCTCCCCGCAGCAGTTCACGTCGCTGGACGCCGCGCAGCAACTGCGAACGTCGGAAAAGTCGTCGCCTCGAAGCAGCCCAGAGTCGCTAATCCGAGCCGCGCTGCTAACGCCTCCGTCCAGCCCGAACGACGCAGTGTATGACGATTCCCTGCTCCTGCAGCATCAGCATCAGCAGCTACTACTACTGCAGACTCACGCTCTTGCTTCATCCCTGCACACACCGGCAGGCTCACCTCACTCCCCCACCACCGCCGCCAGCCTCAGCGAGAACTGCAAGAGATTCTCGATAGCTAACCTCCTCTCTTAGCTCTTATTTGTAACCAGCGATTTCTTTGTGTTTGTGAGTGTGTGTGTGTGTGGTCACAATTTCATCAAGTGATAACTGTTTCTGATAAAAAGCTACCCATTTTCTTTTCACAACTTTCTTCACCTTTTATTCGTGGATTGACACAACCTAATGCTCAATGTCGCGCGGTTATTGCGAGTTTAGCACCCAATTATCCTACCAAGCCCGCAATAATTCGCAATAATTATTAATTATCGTTAGATCACGTGATTTGACGATGAACTAACTTGGCCGCTGGCGGCACGGCACGATCTCGACGATCTCAGGGTCCTTTCTGCAATAATCCTTCCAGTTTGATGAGCAAACACCAGACTGCACAACAGAGAGCACACCACCGACTGAGCATGAGCCGTGTTCTTCTCCGACGGCGCGTGTGTGCGCATGCACGAAGCGCGCGCGCCGCCGCCGAAAGGGCGTAAATTACGCTGGGTTGGCATCTATTAGAGTCGAGTGCATTCCCTCTACCTCATCGCTGAAACTCACTCGTCGTGCCTCTACAGCCTAGCTACTCTGCTCGATCGGCCGGAGTCCTCGCGTCTACGGCGCAGACGAGTCATGGCGCGGGAGGACAACTTTGATCTGATCAACCTGGACGGGCCGCTGAGCGTGGAGGCCATTCTCAAGACGCTGCAGCAGCGATTCATGGAAGGCCACTGCTACGTTAGTCCCCAGACCTCATTGGGACGGTCTTTGTGTGTATTGGAGACTAATAGTGCTATTCATTTATCGGTGTGGAGTGGTGTGCGTGTGTGTGTGTGTGGGGAGGGAGTGAAAAAGGAGAATAGGTTTGAGGTGGTGGGAGTGTGGGAGGAGGAGAGGGATATGACCACACTGCAGCCATGCATGGCGGAGTAGGGAGCGGAGGCTGGGACTGTTGGCATTGTTCGACGTGGTGTGCAGCAACCACTGACACTGTTGTACATGCTTGCCTTTTCCATGGGTTCCCTACCACAGCACTACACAGGTTCTCCTGTTCTCGTATCAATACAGACATGGATTGGACCTGTGTTACTCTGCATTAACCCTTTTGAAGCCCCCGGACCTGCCGTGCATGCAGTTCTGAAACACCTGTGTGAGCAGGTTTTGCAGGAAATGGCCAACGACCAACTGCCTCATGCTCTGATCTTCAAGTGAGTGATGATAACACAAATAGTCATCAGTGTGAAGTGGTGGAGGCATATATTTGCTGGATGGTCTTCTGTGTGAACTGGTAGAGTGTAGGCTCTACCTGTGCTTGTGGTGTGTGTGTGTGTGTGTGTGGCTAGCTGGTAGGAGAGGGAAAGGGTGCCAAATACTGACTCGCCCTCTGCCCAAACTTGTCTCTGTCTCCTCTGGATATGGAGTGGTGGTCTGGTGTCCTCTGCTAATCAACCAACAGTACAGCTGTCCTCATAACTCCATTATACTGTGGGCCATGCTAAATTGTTGGTCCCCAGCCAGTGAATATATACGTAACTAGTTGAGGCATTTCACAAGATTACTCACACAACATTGCAATCGCATATACACTCGCCATTCAGATGGTGGGGGTATTGCATAATGGAATATATGGCAGGTGTTGTGACTAGTTGCATAATAACGTATCATTTTCAGAGGGGTATGTGGCAGTGGAAAGTCGTTCACTGCCGACCGATTGCTTCTCGAAATGTTCCAAAACACCAAACGAACAGACTGGCTGCAAGACATCAGGAAGGTAATAATAATTATAGACGACATCGTTTTCTGTGAGGATGATGTAATGCCTCTTTCCCTGGTGCAGTACTGGCAGGTGTCCACCGTGGTTCTGAGGGCGATGGGCACCGCCAGCAATGAGCAGAACAAGGATTCCTCAAGAATTGTAGGTTGAAATTCAGGAGAAGGAGAAGCTAAAATATCTTTCTCTAGGGTCGTGTGGTGGACTTCACCATAGCTGAGTTGAAAATCATAAAGATAAAGATGAACTGCTTCTTCCTGGACCAGGTATTTCACCATCCTCACACCCTCCCTCACCCCTCCTCACACCCTCCCTCTCCTCACAGACGCGGCTGGTGAGCCCGAGTGCCCGGGAGCAGAACTACCACATATTCTACCAGATGTTGGCTGGTCTCTCACCTGAGGAGAGGAGTGAGTCTGGGTATATTCCATGGTGATGGGGTGTCTTTCTCCCCATCTCCCTCCTCCATCATACAGTAGTTTTTCGACAACGAAAGCATTTCGCTGCCCCCTTAAGAATCGTTTGCCCCCCGCTCACTAGATATTTTATGTATGCCCCCACAATTTGTCTTGGCCCCTCCCTCTCAGCCAAGTACCAGCTGAACTACCACGATGTGCGGACCCTCCACTACCTCTCTCAGGGGATGGAGCCAGCCGAGACTGTGCCCCAACTCCAGAGCCGCTTCGAGGCCTGGAAGGTGCCCTCATTTCTGCTTTGCTTCTCTTCGTTCAGCCTTACTTATGCTCCTTGTTTTTTCCCTCTCCTTTCTTTTCTTTCTCCTTTCTGCCCCCTTTGCTCCTCCCTTCTCATTTTGTTTCCTCCATTGTGTTACCTCCTTATTTCTTCCTTGGTTTCTTCCCTCCACTCACCTCTCTTCTCTTCCTCCCTCCCCTCCTTCCACGCTGTGTCTCTCTCTAGCAAACAGCTGGCGTGTATGTCTGTAGACAGTGTCTGAACTAATATCTCTGAGCAATGGGATAATCTCCTGGCCTTTCCTCGTTCGCATTCCTTTACAGAGCCATGGCAACACCTAGCAACCCCCTAGTAACCCAATAGTTCAAATTTGGCTGGAGCGGTTCATTTGGTCTGAGAGATGGGAAATAGATACTACCTTTGGAAAGGCTGAAAATGCTTTATATAAACAGCTTATAATTTGTCTATACAAAAAGTAGGCCGATAGCAGCTTTAGTGGTGGGAAGGGAAGAGATGGAAGGGATAAAGGAAGAAGTGTGGTGTGTTGGTGGTTGGCAGCGAGGGTCCCCCTCTCTCTTCAACTGTTGCCAAGTTCTCAGAGCCTCAGGCCACCAAACCTCGTCCTCTTTTCCTCTCCATCTCCTCCCTCTCTTGTTCCTCTCTCCTCCCTCTCCTTTACTGCTTGTGGCTGCTGTTGGTTTTGGAGCTCCTTGCTACCCATACACACTGTCTCACTAGTTGTACTATCGTAGACTGACTAGTCTGGCAGTGTTCCTGGTCATTGTGTGGCAGTGTTGTGTGTTCACCTCTCAACCCACAGTCCAGTCTGGCTCAGCTGGGGATTCCCCTCACAGACGTTCTCAAGGTGTTGTCTGCAGTCCTGTTGCTAGGCAACACCTTGTTCTACGAGGCCAAGAACCAGGAGCTCCAGCTGCAGGGAGCGGAAGGTGCTAATCTCTCTCTCTGACAGTTTACCTTTCTCTTCTCCATCGTTACTTATTTACCCAACGTGGATTTCTTTTAACCCCTAACCCTCTTCCCTTATGGCATACTGTGTATTAAAACTACTGTTGACGTTTACTTTCTGTTATCACGTGACTTTTCATGTATTTAGCAAGGCAGCAGACCTGCTAGTCATCTGAATTTGGTAGTTTCCCAATGCGTACGTGTGACGCCTTGTGTTTGCTCTGTTACCTTTCACCCCTCCCTCCCCTCCCCCCTCCCTCCCCTGCCCTGCCTGCCCCAGAGCTCCAGTCAGTGGCCACTCTGCTGGGGATCCAGCCACAGTCACTCCAGAGGGGACTCACCCTCAGGACATACCGTTCCTCTCGCGGCCCCACCGTCCAATCACCTTGCTCTGCTGCCGCTGTGAGACACACCCACCTCTTTATTGAAGCCACACCCCATTACGTATTACTTTAAGCCACACCCACATCTGTAAATATTACTTTAATTGAGGTGCACTCTATTCAATTGGCCAGCGAAGGTATTTATCACATGACAATCTGCTTTGTAAGTCTATAGCCAAGTTGCCGTGAGCCACACAAATAAAAGAATATTAGTTGTGTTGCCGTAAGGACCGGCACACAAGCAGATGTAATCCTAGATTAGACCCAATGAAGAGAGTGTAATTCAACACTTTGTTTTGATGCACTGGCCCTGTGCTATCAGCTTACACCGGTAGAGGTCACACTCTGAATGTGTGTGTCTTGGGGATGTTTTGGCAATTTGCGTGTCGTTCTGTCTGTCTGTGAGTGTGAATGTGTGAGGTATAAAGTGGGGGGAGGGGGGGAGAGGGGGTCTGAGTGGTTCACACATGACTACCCCAACCTCTCGAACACAGTGTACCTGCCAGTCTGTGCCATACAGCAGCCGTGTGTCTATCTCTCGTTCACCACACTCCGAGGGAGGGGCCGCCTGTCTCTAATTGTCTGTTTCAGTTACATGCAAACACAGCATTTCTCTGTAGACCTTCTGTTGTTCTTGTCGGTGGGCTGTGGCCACACCCACTCGACCGACACGCTAACGAGATGTTATCTGTCCCTGCTACATGTTTCCGTGTATTTTCGCTCACAGGCAGATGTCGTTAGCACACAACACGTCGTCATAAATGAGTTACTAATCGGTCAATTTGGCTCCACTTAAATTCCTCACCAGTCAATTTGCACAATTTGAGAAATATTAAACCAAGTAACTTCGCACATAATTATTTGTCGGTATGTGTACGTACCTTTTGAACTCAAGTGGAAATCTGTCATTCACAGAAATGTTGAAGTGTGAAACATAACAACTAACGTGGTACAGTAGCAACTTCAGTGTCCCCTACAAGACCTTCTTCATTATGCAAACATTTGTCCCCTCCCCTCCTCTCCTCTCCTCCCCTCTCCTCCTCCCCTCCTCCCCTCCTCCCCCCCACAGGCAAATGGAGCACGAGATGCGCTGGTCAAAGCTCTATACATCAGGACCATGGTGGCCGTAATGAGACGAATTAACACCCTCCTGAGGGGCGTGTCACAAAAGACGCATGTGGGCGGGGCTAACGGTGGCCACACCTACTCGTCAGAGCCAGGCATGCTCCATGTTGTGGACATGTTTGGTTTCGAGAACTCTGAGGTACGTAATGCATCTGCTGAGAATGTGTGAGGTTTGTGATGTCTGGCAGTTCTGCTCACTAGGGGCTAGAATGTCGGGTCATGTGACACGGGTCATGTGACACGGGTGTAGTAATTACGGCGACAATGATGATATAGCGACGATGTAATCTCCACCAGGTGAACTCTCTGGAGCAGCTGTGTGTGAACTGGACCGCTGAGCAGCTGCAACACCACTACATTCAGTCTCTCTTCTCCTCCACCATCTCAAGATGCACGTGAGGCCCTCTTCCTCCCTTCTCTCCTCTCCTCTTTCTGCCCCTGCCCCTCCTCTCTCTTTCTGCCCCTGCCCCTCCTCTCCTCTTTCTCCCCCTGCCCCTCCTTCTATTAAAGCTCTCTTATGTAGCATTCCTTTTCTCCCTCCCTCACTCATCACCTCCAGAGAGGAAGGAGTCGGTCCGATGTTTGAAACTGCACCCTACGACTGCTCCCCGTGTCTCGAACTCATCGGTGGACAGGTAACCACACCCACTCTATGTCAATTACATCATCATTACGTCGTTATGACATCACCTCCCCAGGACTCTGGGTTGTTGGAGATGCTGAACGAGGAGACTCTGTCCCCGAGAGTCTCATCTGAGGACATTAGAATCAGGATGAGACGGAAATTCAAATCCAACGACCGGTCAGCTCATACCCCCCAACTACATCTATAGTTACAAACTTTTGGACACATTCTTAGAAATTGCGTAAGTGGCTACAAGGTTATAATTTCATCTCTTTCCGGTGAGCTGGAACATGCAGACAACACAGTGTGAAATGATTTTTTTGATGTGTATGCATCAGAACATCATTTATCTACATGTTTACTGAGCCCTCTGGCTGACCCTGCGAATATTATTTACATAATAAACTTAGTAAACAATCTGAAATGATGTTTACATGTTTGTTGTTGTTGTTGTTGTTCTCTCTCTCTCGTCTGGACCAGGTTCATCCCCCCAGCTGGGTCCTCATCAACATTTGCCATTCGTCACTACTGCGGGACCGTCATATACGACACTTACAGTCTCCTCAACGCTAATGCCGATACTCTAGCTGATGATATCATCGCAACTTTCGATGGGAAGGTATATAGTGTGGTTGGTAGAGAGGCGGGGCCAGACACACACACACACACACACACACAGAGAGAGGACACTACACCATCTCCAGTAACAATAGCTCTCAGAGTATTATTGCCTGTGTTACTCCACCAACTGGCTGCGTGTGTCTGTTTACCAGACATCCTAACCCTCTCCTCTTGCATGCACCTGTGTTTACATGCCGCCCTCCCCCCCTATCTCTTTCCTCTCTCTTTCACATGTTTTAAAGCTCGTCTCACGTTTCTTGCTTCTTGAAAATTGTTTTAAGTCCGTTGTTGTTTCTCCAGGTTTGCAAGTTTGGATTCGTGGCTCACTTGTTTTCAGTTGAACTCAGCAGAGACCTCTTGCGTAAGTTGTGCAGGTCGCATGATCAGAATGTGATGTCATGTGACATTCCACAGCTGATGGTACTGCGAGAGGGCAGATGTGTCGAATCACTCCAGCCTACCTTCAGCAGGCCAGGTATAATGATAGGTGTCAACGTATATAGGACAACTTACAGAGGTGGGGTATATAGCAGGGAAATCTTCAGTAGAAATTTGAATTTTGCTGAGAGATTGGTGTTCCGGCAGAACAAACATTACTGCCTACAAATTTTTGCGGACGGCTAGTAAACTGCGAAATTTGCAAAGGTTTTATCCCTGAAAATGAGGGTATTTTGTGAACACTGCTTTTCTCCACTTCCCTCCCTTGTCCCCTCCCTTGTCTCTCCCTCAGTAACCCTGACAACGAGGTGGCGACCACCTATGTCCAGGACTACCAGAGCAACGTGCAGGAGAGTCTGTGTGGACTACTGCAGGCCCAGCAGCACCACGTTCTCTGCCTCTCCTCCAACGACAAACAGACCTCGGGCCACTTCGACAAAGAGGTCGTAGGTCAACAGATTCAGAGCATGGCCATCTTCGAGACCGTCGACTTCATGCAGTGTGGTACGCCATTACATCATCGTGATGTAATGTCTATAATATGCTAGAGAACACGTTTTGCTCTGAACTTCTGTTTTGTCTTTTCCCCCAATTTCAATACAAAGTTTAGCTCTTCCCCTTCTCATCATGTAATTTGCATTACATCATTATTACATCATTCATTACGCAGCGTACTCAAGAAGTCAGATGTTTGAGGTGTTCATAGAGAGGTACAGTTTCCTGGTGTCAAGAGTGGGTTCTCCTCGCAGCACTGCCAGAGAGACCACTGAGGTACTGTACTAGTGAACTCTGTAGAACTGCTCACGACAGTGTGTTTTCATGACGATTGCCCTTCAATTGTTCTCCATAGACTTGTATGGAGAGCCTGAAATAATATGTCCACACTAACTCCAGTAGTAGATTAAGAAATGAACTTCTCACATGTCAGCCAGGTGCGTTTCTCATGTCCAGGAGATGATTGGAGCGCTGGTGGGAGGGGCTTTGTCCGACTCTGACGTGGCTGACGACAGCTACTCTCTCGGGACATCCCTCATCTTCATGACGTGAGTTGCCTAGATACACCTCGTTAACCTTGGAACGAGAAAAACTTGGAAACCCAAAGGTCATCTCCATGAAAAAATTTCACTGCGATATCTAAAATTTGATGCGTCTACAAAACATTTCTCTACTATTCACATTTCTTGCCCCTGCCCCACTCAAAATTATTAATTTTATTCTTACGAATGGTGGCAGAAACACCTATGTATGTGAAATGGAAGGGAAACTGTTTTTCTGCTAAATTTCTACAAAACTTCTTCTGAAGTTTAAGAGAACATTTTGCCTGCTGTACACCCACAGAGAGGACTTGTACCAGGCAATAGAGGGTCTGCGAAGGGACAGACTCCATACTGCAGCCGTCAGGATCCAGGCAACGGTCCGCATGTTCTTGTGTCGACGCCAGTGGCCACACCTTAAGTTCTCTCTCAGACAGGCCAAGTTGCAGGGCCAGGCACACACACAGCTCATGTGAGTGTATAATTGAGAGGTGTGGTTACTAGAGAACTATGTCACCTGTCACAGAGGAGGTGGGGAGGAGGCCAGGGTCAACGGAGGTCAAATCACGTACAGCGTGAGGAACTATTCTATTGTGGGGAACTACAGGGTGGGGTTTCCCCAGTGGAGGACCATGAGGTGCCAGTACCCCGAGAGTGGGGCCTGTCTGCTGCAGGTGAAACATCCTCTGTCTGTACATAACATTACATAACACTGTCTGCCGGTTTCTTGAGTCCGACTTTTTGCCACTTTTGAACCTAATGTCTGCCATATCCATATTTTGTAGCTTTGGTATTTGTTGTGCTGCTTTGGTTTTTGAGCAAAATTGGGTCTTAATTCAGCACATTTGGCCGAATAATGACTTCATTCACGATGGACAATACAGTATGGCTGGTTCACTACTGCATGTTGATTGCAAGAGCAGTAGGATAAGTGGTGTCTATTGTTGCCAGGCGGGGGAAGAGGTATACTGTCTAGGGAGGTCCCAGAAACGTGGCTACCTGGTGGTGGAGCACGGCGGAGGCACCATCCACATTCCACACCACTACACCGAGCTACGGGTATGGAATGGGGCCATGGCACCTCCGGTATTACTGACCACACCCTCTATCTCCCTGCAGTTGACTCCACCCAATTCCCCGCCCCCTACTGGTCGACCCCAGCCTCATACCAGTGACCTTTAGCCCTCTTCATCTCTGTCTCTCTCTTCTCGTCTTTCATGTCTCGTTTTTCTCTCCGTTATAAATTTTCAGCATCAATTTCAGTTATTTTTGTAAATGAGGTCCACAATAGTGTGTGGCACTAATTGGAATACAGACTCTATCATCATTTTTCATCTTCTACATTACGTCATCATGCTAAGATCAGATTATGATTTTCGCCGATATGCCGATATTTATACTTGTTGGATCAGGTGACTATCATGTGAGTGTCATGTGAGGCGGTGCTGGTGGGGAGTGGTGGCATGAGCAATCTTGCTGCGGAGTCCGGTGCATTGTAAGGTGGTCTGTGAATGTTGTCTCTGCAGCTGCTCCAGTCGGCTCTCTAGCTCTGCATTCTGGAGAGAGAGGGGGAGGCGGGGCAACAAGAGAGTGTTGGAAATGCACCAGACAGGAGAGACAGTGGACTAGAAAAGGTTCAACCAAATGATACCTCTTACGAGGAACAGTTGTGCCACTAAAGGATACTCCAAATATCCCTAAAGTGTCACCTGATCTTGTCTGTCCTCAAAGTCCCTGAGGAGCTGGGTGTGGCAGACGAGGCCTCCTCTCTGCCGCAGTCTCTGGTTGTCCAGTCTCAGAGAGTCCCGCGTCTGTTTCAGCCTCGTCAGTACCTCCCTCCTCTGCACACCAGGGGATGGACACAGGGATCTGTCAGTCAGGGGCAGGGACTTACCCTGGCGAGGTCAGAGTCCAACTGTTGCAGCTGCTCCTTCTTCTCTTCACTCTCGTCCTGCATACAAACACACCCACTGCCTGTATATATGACTATTTACTGTAGTGCACATCAGCTGGATTGTGGAATAGCAACACTACTCACATTTCTCTATCTCATTCCAGCCACACTATTGTTCACCTGCAGGAAGTCGAGTTTCTCCTTGACGTGGGTGAGGACCTGGACGGTGTCTCGAATCTTCTCCGTCAGTTTCCTAATCTCCTCGTTCCTCTCCTCCACCTTCTCCCCCAGGTCCATGTTACTAATCTTCAGCTGCTCAAAGTCCAACATGTGGAGCCCCTCTGCCAGCTCCTCCTGTGTCGTTAACCACTGCTAACTACCCACTGCTAATTACAGGAGCTTACCCACTGTGACTATCATATCATACAGAATAAACGAGCATGTTGTTGTGTATACCTTTGCCTTTAGCAGTGACTCCATTCTCTCAATCTTATTGGCCAGCTTGATGTTCTCCAGCCTCGCCTGAGTGATCAGATGACATCATGTGACTGTCACATGACACGCCTACCTGGAAGACGGCCTGATTGCTGGCTGCCTGGTCAGTCTGCAGTCTGTGGAGATCAGTCTCAGAGAGTCTGTGACCAGTACGACTGTCCACTGCCTGTTTCGACCCCTCCATCTGGTACCTCAGGAACTCCTCTCTGACATGGAACAACACATTTTGTAAGAATCATGATCAATTCTGGACAATTTCCCAACAGTGAAAGCTGATGTACAAAACCTCTCTCCAAATGTGTCTCAAACGTACGTCTTTCCCTGGACCTCAGCCAATCTCCTGGCACAGCTCTCTCTCATCTCCTCCTCCCTGCTGGCCCACCCCTCACGAGCCTGCTCCAGCTCCACCTCCAGGTTATCCAGGCCACCTGTGAAACCACACCCACTGACACACCCACCGCCACGCCCCCTGTGACTCACTCATGCACTGGATGTATCTCTTTTCTTGGTCTGTGACGTTTCTTCCTGGGTCTGGCTTCTCCTCCTGCTGTGGAGGCAGTGATGGAGGCAGGGATAGAGATATCTCACAACACAAACGTTCGTCTTTCCCCATATCACACTCCAAACTATTGTATTCTGTCTATCTCACACTAAACTTTCGTATTTGCTCAATCTCGCTGGAAACTTTCGTATTTCCCAATCTTGCTCGAAACTTTTGTCTCCTCCAAACGTTCATCAGTCACTCGGGTGAGTGAGCGACAAGAGGGAGGAGAGAGAGGTATACACAACTGACCTTCTTGTAGGAGAGGTATTCTGCAATCTTGTGCTGAAGAAGAGAATTCTCATGCCTCAGTTTCTCCTGTCTCTTCAGAGCCTCCTACTCAGAAAGGGTTAGGCAGGAAAATAGGAGAAAGGACTCTGGTTTAATTGGTAGGAGTTTACTCACTCGGCAGTTGGTGATTAGTTCATCTTTATCAACTTTCTCCTCCTCCTCCTCTTCCTCTTCTTCTTCAACGATATTCTCAAGAGGTAGTCGACTAGTAGTCACAACATTACTGTCAGCTACGTCCACTTCCGATGGAGCCACACCCTCTTCCACTTCCTTGGCCAAACCCACTTCCTGTTCCTCAGCTATGCTCTTTTCTTTGGCCACACCCCCTTCCACTTCTTTGGCCATACCCACTTCCTGTTCCTCAGCTATGCTCTTTTCTTTGGCCACACCTTCTTCCACTTCCTTGGCCACACCCACTTCCTGTTCCTCAGCTACGCTCTTTTCTTTGGCCACACCCTCTGACACACCATTAATGACAGTCTCTTCAGCTGGAACCTCTGTCTCAATGTCTTCTCGTCTCACCTCACCATCACCGTCTTCTCCCTCAACTGTATTCTCTCTCTCCTCACTCTGGATACCATATAAACACACCAAATGATGTATTAACGTGGTTGTGGGATTACCTCTCTTTCTTCAGTAGATTTCTCAGCCTCATTTCCTCCTTCCACTACTTCTTCTTGTTGTTCCGCAGTTGCTACTTTCTCTTCCTCTGCCCCACTACCTCCTTCATTCTGCTCCCCACCATCTTCAGTTGTTTCTTCCTCCTTGATTCCCTCTTCTCCTTCCTGAACTGCAGCCTCACTCACTCCCTCTCCTTCTCCTTTTCTCTCTTCCTCCTCTTTCCCCTCGCCGTCCGCTCCTGATGCGAACGTTTTCTGTTCATTTCTCGCGGACAGAGCTGCAGGGACTTACGTGGCCCTCCAAGTTCTTCCCCGGCTGTCTCTCCCTCCTCTTTTCTCTTGCTCTGTGATCCCTCCCGGGGCCTCGTCTTCCCCCACCGTCGCGGCAGGCACCGTTTCTTCAACGTTCTGCTCCTCCGCCGACATTGCAGTGGGCGTTTATTGGGATTGTTTACCAGGTTATCGGTCGCACGGCAACGGTGCGGCGAAATCTGATTGGTTGATTTTACCCGCGGTTTGTAATACGCGGGAAGGCCCAAAACTGTTTTTGTCAAACGCCACTTACCTCTTCCTTGTAAAACTACAAGCCAGCGCCGCCATATTGGAAACTGAGCGGAGAATGTCGGGTCCAGCAGCCGTGACGATTGGGAGGACCAAAGGACACGTTCAGGTGCACTGTCTCCCCTCTCTCCTCCTCTTGTCGCTGAGTCGGGCTCCAAGCTCGCTTGTCCAGTGTTGGTGTGTTCCAATTAGAGTGCAATCTCTCCCTGCAGCTCATCCTTGGCCCCATGTTCTCGGGGAAATCGTAAGTCCCTCGCCAGAGAAAGACCCAGTTAGCCACACCCTCTCTTTCCCCTGGCTACAGGACGGAGCTAATCAGGAGGATGAAGAGGTTCCAGGTGGCCAACCAGGCCTGCCTCATGATCAAATACGCCAAAGACAATCGCTACGACAAGAACGGAGTGGCCACCCACGACAGGTCCTTACCTCCTCTCTCTCTGGTGGAAACTAGTTGTCAGTGACGCCTGTCTGTCTGTCTGTCTGTCTCTGCAGGCAGGTGACTGCAGCCGTGGCAGCCACTGAACTCTCTGCCATGAAACACATGGCCAGGAAATACGGAGTCATCGGTATTGACGAGGGACAGTTTGTAAGTTGTTTCACAATTCTTTTCCCTTTCTCCCTCTCATTTCTCTATTCTCTCTCCGTGTAATCATGCTTGTCTTTTCTTCTTCTCCACGGCAGTTCCCTGATATTGTAGAGTTCTGTGAGGACATGGCAAACGACGGAAAGACTGTGATAGTTGCTGCGCTGGACGGAACTTTTCAGAGAGAGCCATTTGGTTCGATTCTCAACCTGGTGCCTCTGGCAGAGAGTGTCGTCAAGTTGAAGGCAGTCTGCATGCTGTGCTACAATGACGCAGCATTCACTAAGAGACTGGGAGGAGAAAAGGAGGTTTGTCCATTTCCCATTGCGTTAGTTTACTACACTTTTATACAATGTTGTGATTATAAGGTTGAGGTGATTGGAGGAGCTGATAAGTACATGGCGGTGTGTCGGACGTGCTACAAGATGCCAGAAAAGTCACTCACATCAACCAGTCCTACCTCCGAAACTCCATTGAGGGGACCAGAGCTCGGGAAGGGGAGAACCCTTTTATTCAATGATAATGACAGCCCCTAAAGGACCTCTCCCTCACCCCTCTCTGTATCTTGCACACTGACATTTCATTGTATTTCTATACACTGACACGCACACATCTTTTCTTTTTATTCTCTGTTGTGTACATCAGTAATCACAATGTTTAAGATGAATGAAGCAAGTCAGGGTGACAATGGATGGGGTAAAAGCGTGTAGTTGGTGAGATGCTAAGTGTTCTGTGCATTAGTCTTGGCCTCTGCTGCTGCATGTGCCAACTGCTCCTTCATGCCTTCCACCATAGCTGTCATCTGCTTCTCCAGCTCTCTCTTCTCCTTTTGCTGCAGTGACAAAGATCAAAACCTTCCCTCCCAATGCTAGTACAGATGATCCAAGTTTCCTCTGAGCGGCTAGCTAGCTGAGCTTACAATAAATGTCTCCAAAGCCTTTTTCTCCAAGTCCAACACATTCTCCACGGTAATCTTGTAGGGGTCTTTGATCTTGAGGAACCCGCAGTTGGGCACGTGTTTCTTGTGCTCGGATCTGCAGGGGAAGAGTGTGAGGAGTGGCTGGGAACGAAGAGGAGGTAACCTGGGGTCATCCGTCGCCTCCCATCCCTCCATGTCGTGGTGGCACACCACGCAGCGGACCCAGTCCGGCGCCCTGTCGGTACCGCAGAAGTAGAAACCAGCTTCGGCCATTTTGAGCGGGGTGCAGGGCCCACTGTCGAACGGCCAGCTGCAGTGGGCCACTCTGAACGTCTCCAGTCTCTCCTCCACAGTGTAAAGAGCTCCCAGCTCCACTGGTAGCGGCTCTCGACTTCCCGCCATCGCTTTGAGTACTATATATACTATGGTGCGCGCAGTCAACAGTTAGCGCGGATGCGCATGCGTAGTCAAAAGTTGTTTCTGAGATGATGATGTGATTGCTAGTTTGATTGTGTGACAGGAGGATGGATGAGTTCAGTTAGCATAAATCTCTGTGGAGGTTCTTGTGACAAAACGTTAGCAAATTTCCTCCATGGTCTTTTGGTCCACTTGCGACCTGACTGAGGTGGGAGTGGTCGACGAGCCTCTCTCGTGAACTGGACCCTTCCAGACACAAGAGAGAAGAGGGTGTGGTCTCGAGATATCCCTACCTGCAAAATTAAGAGGATTCACACTCTCTAATTAGCAGGAGTGAAGGCGAAAGAACTCGCGTTGGCTCCAGGGTGGAAGGCTGTACCTCTCTGTCTCACAATAATGTTACCAGGAATGACAGACTCTCCTGAGGCAGAAGAGGAGGAGGAAATGAGTCAGTTCAGCCGGTGGCTGGTTAGTCCTCACCATCACTACACTTCAGTCCTAGTCTGCGTCCGGCGCTTTTTCGGCCATTCCTAGTGCTGCCTGCTGCCTTCTTGGAGGCCCACCGAACACCTGCAGACACATACATCTCAAAAACCTTAGTAGACAAGTCTATAATGCCCTCACCGGTAAGGATCGGCCTCTCGTACAAACTCCGAAAAGCACTCCAGCTCGCCATGGGTGCGCTTTATTTAGAACATTCGACCTTCCACCCCGAGTTGCTACGGTAACGCGCTCAAGACAAAACAAAATGGCGGACGAAAAGGACATACCGGAGACGGCAAACTTCTTTGCTCGTCGCACGGAGTCAGTGGACGCGGCGGGGATAGCGAGCCTGGTACAGAGACGCACGGAGACTGTATTCGGCAGAGTAAACGTGGAGTACATCATGTGAGCCCGCAGTAGTCGTCGGACTCGATTAGATTTCGCGTGTCTGCAGCGAGCGAGCGACCCTGAGTATCACACTGGTGGGCAGCGAGGAGGAAGGAGGAGAGATCCTTGCTCATGGCTCTCTGCTGGACTACCCAGTCCCCACCTCTGGAGTGGAGCCAGCCAGCTGGGAGGAATGGGCCAGAGGCAACTTTACTGGAGACATCAGAGCTTCTGTAACTCCCCCCTCTCTCTTCTCTCTCCTCCCTCACCACATATATTTCCCTGCAGCCAATGAATTCACTGTTCCTGCACCTCTTTGTGGCCAAGGAAGGATTCCAGCAGGCAGCCATCGCAGAAATCCTCAGGTCTCCCTCATCTCCCTTTCTTCTTTTTCACATCAGTCTCTGTTTCTCTAACACAGGATTGCCTTTGTTGCAGTTCCTCTGTTACAGTATGTCATCATAACCACTCCCCCAGCCACCTCACTGGGTATGTAATACCACAGCTCATGACTAGAGTCTGGAATGAGAGAGGGGTTCCTTGCTGTACGTAGGTTCAGGTCTCCAGGCTCACTTCTGTGCCTGGCCAGTGGTTGAGGGTCAGAGTCCGTCTCACGTGGCTCACGTGTCACATCGCCACCAGCACTTCCCCCAGCTCCACGTCAGACCTGCTCTGTCTGTATACCTCACTTGCTCTCTTTTATGTTCTATTATCTCTTTTCTCTCTCTTTGTGTTAGTGTGGAGGATGCCGATGATCTAATGGTCGTTTTCACTGAGTATTCTCACGACGTTACTCAAGACTATGGTAAGTGTGTTAATGCATCAAGTATATACCTACCCAACGTAAACCAACTTTTTGCAGAATAATGTGAAAGTATTTCCCCTGCTCCCTCCATCTGCAGGACCCTATTTCCTGGCTGAGCTAATAGAGTCCCAGGACAGCCAACACAGGACCATTGTCGCTGAGGTACTATCTTATCTCTCCTCTCTCGTGTTGTAGTCTCATCTTGTCTGTGTACGCAGGTCGGAGGTCGTGCGGTGGGGTTTGTGAGCGTGACATCAGAGGTGGACCTGGGAGTGTTGGACCGGAGCTTCCAGCTGGAGCCGTACCACCACCTCCGACACCCTGCCCCTCCCTCTACTGGTATAGTCACACTACCACAAGTCAACGAATCTCTCTCTGATCTCTGTCGTCTTTGGTGGCACAGAGTCAGAGCTGGAGTCACAGTCAGTGCAGAGTATTGACAATAGTGACCCTCTCCACACCTCCTCCACCAGGTTTATATAGTACATACGATGGCCCTTCTCACCATGCTTCACTGTATGTTATAGTCTGGTGGGAGGAGAGACAGTGGATCATCCTGCAGACCCCTCACCACAGGACAAACAGAGTAAGTCACATGTGTGTGGGTGAGATTTCCTTCATACATACCACCATACACTGCACTGAAACATTCACTATTACAATTTGGTATCGTGAATGTCTTGGAATATCTTCCCACCACATGTACCCCCAGAGAGAGAGGAAGGCTCTCCCAGGACCAGTTGGCCTCCTCCTCATCTCTGGCCAGACTGGCTCAGATTGCTGCTGCCACCAGCTCCAAATCCAGACTGACACAGTCTCGCAGCAGGCTGGCCACACACTCGCGGACCAAGGTAGCTCCCACGTCAGAGACCAAGGTGACCAAATCAGTGACGAAAGCCACCGAGTCGGGGACCAAAGTGGCAGAACCTGGCTCCAAAGGAACCGAATCCAAACTCAACGCGGTTGATTCAAAGATCAGTGGTTCAACGTCGAAAGTTTCAACATCTGAGGCCAAAATGGTCGAATCGAAAAGCGACATGTCTGAATCAAAGACGAGACTGTTGCCATCTAAATCACGAGTGGCAAGAGCCAGCCAGTCTGAGGTGACAGGGGGTGTGTCTGCAGCAGGAGAGAGCACCAGCAGCCAGCCCCAGGTGAAGATGGAGGACACTACCGACTCTGAGGAAACCAGGTGAGTTGAGAGATAGGGAGGGAGAGAGTACCGGGCCCTTCTTTATTGCAGGGCTGACAGAGAGAGGGAAGAGAGGAGAAAGAGGCTAGCTGGGCAGCCGAGTGCCGTCGCTGTGCAGCTCTTTGCCATTCAAGACCAGTTCGAAATGAGGTAACATTGACTCCATGATCTTCTCCTCTGACCTCTGAACCTCATCCAGATCAGTGGATCTGTTGGTGGCTGTGTTCCAGGCCTTTCCAGTCAGTCCTCTATCACTCCATTGACTGTTGTTCCAATCGATCTGTACACACAGGATCACGACTTCTGTCTACTGTCTCTCCCGACCACAGTTCCCGAGTTCCCTCTCCTGTCACACTTCACGGTAGACCACACCCCTCTATGACATCATCCTCTATCTATCACTGAACCCCACCCAGAGAGTACCACATCGAGAACAGGCCACACCCCTCACGAACTCTACGTCGTACACAAGTGCTCCCTACTGCAGTGAGTCCTGTTCCCATTCCTTCATTCCCAATTCATTCCCATTCTGCGAAATCTTGCTTCAATTTTGCACCATCACCTTCTCCGTTCATCTCTATTACCCAATAATCCCACAGTTCATTTGTGGTTCGCCCAGCCATGACCTCTGACCTGGGAGGAGTGAGGGACCTGCTGGAGTGTGTGGAGGGAAGGGAGGGTGTGATGAGTGACGTGGTGAAGGGAGTGGAAGGAGGGAGGGACAGGATCGAGGATGGAGCCACACCCCTCTCTGCCATGGTGGCCGAGTGTGCACACCAGATTGTGGGTGTGTGCTGTTGTCAGGAGAGAAGAGGTTTAACCTTCCCCACTTCACCTCCTTATCCCCACTCTCCCCACTCTCCCTGAAGGAGCTACTGTTCCTGAGGTCCCACTACAATGTGGAGGACTTTTGTGTACATGAGTCACCACAGACCAGAGGAACACGGGAGACTCCACCACCTCCTGCTCTCTCCTGCCTTCTCCACCCTCACCAAACACCTCCTGAAGGTATCACACCACCACTCTATACATGTATAAGGACACTGTGGAGGTATCAAAAGTTAACTCAGTGGCATCCCTGAACTACACAAGTGAGATCTTTTTAGCTTATTCAGTAGGTCTTTTTCTCTATATATACCACCTCAATATGTGTGTGTTGAGTGTGAGGACTATTCTGTGTGCAGGAGGTGCTGAGGAAGACTGGTATGACATGTCTCTACTACCCTTTCTACTCATCCCCCCTCCCCCTCACACCTCACACCCTCACAAACCTCACACCATCACTACTGCTCTCGCTGATATGGTGCCTGTTAGGTCAGTACCTCTGAACCATGGTAACCTGGGAAAAGTCTTTTTGAGGTGTCCCTTATTGAGAGTTACACTAATGCATAGTATGGGGCAGAAAAGTTGCTTTCACTGAGATTTCATACTATCCCTCCCTCCTTCCCCTGGCAGATGGCGTAGACAGGTGGTGTACCCAGACAGAGAGAGACTGGGAGTCAACCAGCCACTGCCTCAGGTTCTGGAGGAGAAACAACACCCGTTTGCTCTCTACCATTTCAACAGGAAACTGAGTCTGGAGCCAAAGGTCCTTACTGAGACATACGGCATACATAATGAGTAAAAGTGAAGTGGGACATTATACAAGTACAGCTGTCTCTCTTCCTTTTCCTCACCACAGACGGTGATCAACAGTAGAGTGGTGGTGGTGGGAGCCTCAGACACATCTCTGTCCTTACTGGAGTCACTGGTCTTCTGTCCCCACCTCTCCTTCTCCAACCTCTCCCTCCTGTCTCCCAGTGGCCTGCCCACTCACTCACTCCCTCTACTGGGGCTCTCTGCCTGGGTCCACACCGTCCCTGCCTCTCTCATCGCCATCAACAGGTCACAAGTCTTTCTTTCTCCTCCTCCTGTCCGTGCGTTAGTTTTAGTTTTAACCTCATCTGATATACATACTGACCAGTAACCTTTGACCACGTTTTGAGGCTTGAGACCCATAAAATCATGAACATTTGAAATTGGTATATCAATTGCACCGTCGTTACACACCCTGCACAGGGAAGAGAAGGAGGTGGTAGTGTGGGGAGGGGGAGAGGAGGGAGAGGAGGGAGAGGAGGGAACTGTGCCGTACGATCTCCTTATTCTGGCCACTGGACTCCAGTTCGCACCTCCTCCGCTAACCTCTGACCCTGGGGAAACCCCTCTCATTTACCACGACAACGACGGTCTGGGAGTATTGGAATGGACCCAGCAGTACCTGCTGTCTCAGGGTATACACAATATATTTCTTATAAATGCTGAATGGAACTTTTCTCTCTTTTTCCAGAGGTGCTGATCTATGGCAGTGGACTGGAGGCACTCACAACTCTCCAATCACTACTGACAGGAGGGGTGGACCCCTCTCTGATTACCTTCGTCAGACCACGCCCACACTCCTGTTTCAACAGTCGTACAGTGGAGGAGAGAGTTCAGAGGTCACTGGAGGAGAGTGGGGTACAGTTGTTGACAGGCCACACCCTCTCCAGTGTGGAGGAGGGCGGAGTCTCCCTGCTGGATGGAGACCACACCCTCTTCGCACACTGCCAGGTGAAATCAGAATTACTTCCTGTGAGATGGTGTGACTTTGGCGTGGAAAATAGGCCCGAGTTTTTGTCATCCTTCATCATCATCCATACTCTCTGTCATCTCAGGGCCTCATCTGTATGGAGGAGAAAGAAGTCACTGGAACAGTATTCACAGGTAAATACCTCCCTCCCCCTCAGTCTCGGTTCATTCAATGATCTCTCTCTCTCTCTCTCTCTCTCTGACCCCACTGCAGCTGTCAATGACTCGTGTCTGGTATTTGATGAGAGACTGGTGGTAGACAGAGACCACCAGACCAATGACCCCGCCATACTGGCTGCAGGGCCAATGACAAAGTTCTCTCGCAGCTACCACTCCAACCACTGGTGGGAATCATCACTCTTACAATGCACTAGTCAACCAAGATATCTTCAAAAGATCTCCAAAATTCTCTAGTTTCTTCGCTAATAATGTAGTATTAATTGTCATGTGTTGAATCTCCCAGGACTCACGCTAATTTCAACTCCAGAGAAGTTGGGCAGAAGGTATGTTGTGCACATAGACCATGTTCTTGTACCCCAAACATCAGTCTCTTCTCCTCCTGTTTCTCCCTCTTTCTTTCCAGCTGGCTGCCTCTCTGCTCTCCAGACTAGACCCCACTTACCAGGAGCCCTCCGCGACCTCTGACCCCGCTCTCCTACCCACCTACACACAGCCTAAAGCTGTCTACACCGTTCTCCCAGGTCTCCCTCCTCCCCTATCTCACCCCTCACTCACTCCCTACCTTCCCTCTCAGGTGGACTCCACTATCTCCATGTCGATAAGCCACACCCCTCAGACCCTACAAACACACTCACGAACCAGACCGGCACGGTGCGTAGTGGCCCCCCCAACTGGTTTCTAGTTGCTCTCTTTGTTCCCCAACTGGTCTCTATCAACCCTCATTGCTTCTCCTCTTTAAATTTTAGCAAAGTTTATCCACATAATTACTGTGTGTCTTCCTCTAGGGGCATGAGCTGGAAACTGACACAGAAAATGGCTACTTCAGACTGTTTATCAACCAGTACAGTAGCGTCCAGACTATCACTGTCCTCAGCTCGCAGGTTAATTAACCTCTCTTTCTCTCTCAATAATGACGTCTTCCTCTCTCTACAGGCCATAGAGAGGACTAACTACCTGTGCCTATATGGACTCCATGAGAAATATCTCAACAATCTTCTCTCCCGCTATTCTGAAGGCCTCATCTCTGACCTCTTCACGTGAGATACATAATCTCCTCTCTCTGTATGTATGAGTCAAAAGAGAGCTTTTATCAAAACATTTTCTCTGTTTTATATAGACACAGATCACTTTACATAAGATTCACGAAATTCTTACTGCATTGCGACATACACACGACTGTATGTATTGTAGGTTCTTGAGGGAGCCGTGGACGTGTGCAGTGTACCACGACAGGTTCTCTGACCTGAGAGAGGAGGTGAGAGAGACACTGTCCCTGCAGCAGCTGACACCAGGAGGAGCACCATCTGAGGTGAACCAACACCAGCCAGCCGCAGAGGTACAGTATATACTGTCCCTGGTCCAGTGGTAATGTATGGTGTCTGACTGTATGTAGGATGACGGAGGGACTGGGAGACAGTCTGTGGAGGAGAGAGTGAGACAACTGCTCACTGATCAACAGACCGTGAGTGGAGCTGTAGCATTATACTGGAAGCCTGTTAAGTATCACGTACTCTGGGCAAAATTTCAACTTTGTGTGTGCAGGTGTCCCTGGAGGAGCATAAGGACCAGTTGCTACGTGAATTCTCACAGTCACCCAGTGAAACCGGCAGTGCAGCAGTTGCTCCATCGCTACCTCCACTACAACCACTACCATCTCCCCATGTATGCACACCCAGACATTCTGTGACTGACACACAACCAATAGCTCTGTGTATATAGTGTTGTATGACTGAGAGAATGGTGTGTTGTTAGTCAATGTCAGTTGTTCTGCGGTCGTGTTTCTTCTGTGAATGGTATTTCTTCTCTACTCTCTTTCTCTGCTGGGCCTTCTTCTTCCTGGACATGAGCAAGTGTGTGTGTGTGAGGTAATCCTCAGGGTATAGCTAGAGCCGTAGCTAACTCACAGAACTCTGATCCTGGCCAGAGTCAGTCCAGACGGTCCTCGTGGTACCTCAGACGCTGTGCAAACCATTCCCTCCAGTCTGGCGACAGCCGCCTCCAGATTCCTGTGCTGTGATCTGTGCTCCTGTGAAGTGATTATCATCTCCCCTTCCCTCGTGATCCGCGACCTGAACTGATCAGGTTTACACAGAGAGGGGGAGGGAAGAAATTGAGCGGCCGTGCACCGTAACAAAAGAGTGGGGAGGGGGGAATAAGAAGAGTGTTGAAGGGAAGGGTTGTTAGGATAAGAGAGAAGGACGAAGATGACAGTAAGGGAAGGTGGATTCTTGGGCTCACCAAAGTCAGTAGTCTCTCCCTCACTCTCTGGGGCAACCAGTCAGCTGAGGCCACATGGAACCTCACCTCTGCCTTTGTGTTCACTGGAGAGGGCACATTTGCTGAGAGGAGCAATGTGATAATTGATCAAACCACATACATTTGTTCACGTTCTGTCCACCAGGACCACTGCTCTTGCTGTATGTTACGCTCAGCTTCTCTGAGAATGAACAACGCTGTGTAGAGGAGGTGTGGCTTGGTGTATGAACTCTGACCTCTGGGAATTGGTCCCTCGAAGGTCTCCAGTTGTTCAGTGGTGTCATCAGAGGACGAAGAGGAACAGAACTGAGGAAACAAACAGAGAAGGAGAGAGACATTATAACACACTATTCTTGTTGGGTCATGGTTTAGCAATTGGTAGGTGGAGAAGTAGGTATCCAAGATGTACCCTAGTAGTGAATGGATTCCTGCAGCCGCTGCATGCTGTCGAATGGTGGAAGAAAGGAGAGAATATCGTCCATTTTGCTCTCAAATTGACGAAGACAGAAGCCATCCACTTCACTTCACAGCACTGAATAAAAGTGAAATTTACATCGGCAGCAGTCAAGTGGTAGCGTGGCCGAGCGGTCTAAGGCGCTGGTTTAAGGCACCAGTCATTTCGATGGCGTGGGTTCGAATCCCACCGCTGCCAGTATTTTTTACTCTTTTTACCAACTTTTGTTCAAACAGCACTTTCCCTCGTTTTACAATCATAAATATATATATTCTGTGTAATAATAAAAATAATATCATCTTCTTTCACCAACGAAACCCTGTGCAATGTGTTCACAAATTGAATGAGCCTGTTCGGATGATACAGCTTCACACACAAAACAGGTAAAACTGGTTTTACCAGTTGCCATGCGAACTGACACGATAGTGAAACAAGTCTGATGGATGGTTCCCTGGCCACACCCACACAACGAGCTATAGGGGAACTCCCCTAGCAACAGACTCCTCTTCTCTGCTAACAAAGCAACCTCCGACTTTCCCACTCTGATGACAAGGTCACAGGGGTCGGTGGGCGTGGTCAACACTCTAGCGATGACATCATTGATTAAGGACTGGTTGGGGGTGTCATAGAGTCTGTTGAGTCGACCGAGGAAAGCTACGTGGTACTCGGAATAGGGAACTGGGGAGACGGAGGGAGAGATGGAAGGAGAATTAGACGGAGATGGGAAGGGCGGAGTGAAATGGGCGGAGCTTGTGGGAGATGGGAGAGTAGGTGGAGAGGGCGACTTGGAGAAGAGTGATTGGATAGAAGGCGGTGATTTTGGGGATCTGGGGGAGGATGGAGGAGCGGAGTCTAGCTGTAGTTTGCGAGAGGAGATGGGGTAGAAGGGACATCCATCGGGAAGAAGGTTCTGCACAAAGAATGAGTCTGGATCCAGTGACAGAGTAAGAGGACACCCACCTTCACGATGACCAGATCAGTGGTGTCCACTGGCTTGGCAACCAGGAGATGTCTCAACTACAGAGCCCCTGTCACAGTGTGAGTGTGTGTGGAGAGAGACTGACCTTCTGGTGCTGCACGTGGTACACTGGCTCCCCGCACAACTCCACCAGACAGTCCCCCGGCTCCACACCTGCCTGCACGCCACAGCAATAGGACACTTTGAGAAGAAAACTCAGTCATGGTTTGAGAGTGTGTTTTTTGTGAAAGTTCTTGGGGGTCCATTAGGGAAAAAACAATTTTCAGAAGTTTTTGACAGTTTAGTTCAAACCCTGGATGTTTCAGTGTATGGTATAGTTACCTTCTCAGCGAGACAGCCTTTCTCGATCTCCACCACTATGGCTCTACCAGTGCAGTATCTACCATACATACAACAGACAGAGGTTAAGAGAAGACCACAAACACACACAGTCACACACACGCACACTCGCACACAGACTCACCCAACTCGAATGTCCAGAGTTTTTATTGGTGGCAGTTTGTGAGGAATGAACACCTAAATAAGATAGAGAGGGGGGAGAAGTGTGTGGCAGGATAAGTAAGCCAACTGCTCACAGGAATGACCCAGGTCTCGTCCAGGAAGGCAGCTGACTCCAGCTGCAACTGGAAGTCCAGTTCAGTGGCCCCAAACAAGATTGACATTAGGGTCTCTGTCAGGAGGGGAGGGGTGAGAGAGGAGATAATTAAGAGGGGCTTACCCCTGAGAGTGGGCGAGGCTACGATGGAGCTGTCCTGGTACCAGTACTGTGGAATGGGGGAATGACAGAACCAGGAATGGGACTCAGACCAGAGACTTCTTACACTAGTGAGTCGACTGTTCTTCACCAGATGCTGAAATGGAACGGAAATTAACTTCTTGCAGAGCGCGATTCTCAGGAAACACCTTCCCTTTCCCTGCAGAGTTCGCAACTGCAGACAAGAGAGAGAGAAGGTGTACGATAAAGAGGGGAACAGTCAGCTAACATGAGGTGAGGCGCAAACTTCTTGAACGGCGTCTCTCAGCAGCGGATTTTGCCTGAGAAAGAGAGACGAAATTTAGACGACATTATTCACAGACACACGGTGAAAGAAAAGCTGACTTCTCGTTGAAGTAGTAATCTTGGAGAGGCTCAATCCACGACCAGTAGTCCTGCTTGTTGAGTCCAAACCACGAGTTGGGCTCTGTAGAGGAGGTAGCGGGCTACAGCTCTACCCCCAAAACCCACTGGGGCACGTTACGTTTGAGTCCGTGACGGAAGACGAGCTCCAACGTCTCGCAGAACGGAATGAGGTGGAGCGTGCCGTCTTGTATGGGCTGGGGAGACGTCTTGAGCCGGTGGAGGACGCCTGCAGGGAGAGGGCATCTCATCTGGAGGCGAGGGAGGGGAGGTCAGCTCACCATTCAACTCCTGCAGCAGAGGATGTTGGGAGCTCTCTGGCACTGCTGCAGTAGCCATGCCTGCCCGACTCCGCCCACTTATCGACGTCTTTCGGCGCATGCGCAGAATATCACTGCCACATTCAAAACTATCCCCACATAATATAATGCTAAAATGCTACAATCAGTTCAGAGTCTGGCATAGTCATAGACCAAAGTATTGGTTGCACTAACTTGAGCTGGGACATATGCTGGGTTGCCAGATGTGGAGATGTCAGTAGATATGTAGGCCTCGTTTGTTGCTGTAGGAATATCTCTCTCTCCTGAACCACTGGTAGTGCCATAGGCTGGGTTGGTAGTAGCTGCAACATCATCATTGTCCACTGTCCCATAGGCTTCATTTGTATTCAAGTTGTGATCATGAATGTTGTAGGCAACATTGTCAGTTAGTTGAGGTCTTTTCCTTCTCCTTTGCCTCACAGACAGGAGTATCAGTATTGATAGAACTGAGACTGTCAGGAGAACCAGACACAGAGGAGCCAACACTCCAATGACAATAATATTTACACCACTACTGTCTTCTGCAAATTAAAATCGAGACATTCATGGCTTGACAGATTGTACTGAAATACCTGTGGTTGGTGAAGGTGAGTCACTGATGATAGTAGTAGATGTTTTGCTGGAAGTACTAGTAGATGTTTTGCTGGAAGTACTAGTGGGCTGTGGAATAAGTGAAAGAGTGGTTCTGAAGATGGTATGATGATAGTGCAACATACCACACTAGTAGGTGTTGCCAAGGAGCTCTTGTGGGGAACTGTGAAAGAATGAAGGTCATAGTGTATACAATATTGAGTGCAGCCAGAGAAGACTTACCCACTCCCAATGTGATGAGGGGAACACCTTCTAAATTCTCATTTCCATCCAGACTGTAACCAATTGGACCTCTATCGCTGAAGAGGAAACTGAGTAGCAGTCGAGCACTGCTGTTGGCTGGCAAAGCAATACCAATGATGTCTCCAGCTTTAAATAGTTCAGGAGTCACACTGCACTCATACACATTGGGATAGGGAGTCTCAGTACAGTTGATGTTATTGATGGTGTTTTGTGTAAAACCCATAATTTTTAAAAGGTTAGGGTATTCCTCTCCTTCTCCGATATTCCTTGCGACAAAAGTCCAGTTCACGAGGATGCTATTTTGTATGATGTTCAGGTCTTCGTATTCAAAGTCATCACCTTCTCTCTCAATAATGTAGGGGATGTAGAGAGCAGTCATTTCCATGAGCTGCAGTAGCTGACTAGAGCTGCACTCTCCACCTACAAAACAGCAACACTCTCACTGGACTCTCTCCACACAGCAGCTGCTACTTACTGACATCCAGGGAGATGAGTGGAGTGTCAGTCTGGCCATTGTGAAGGAAGCCAATCTGACTACCTGCATGTCTCTGACTGATAGTCAGTGAGACTTCTCCATCTACTGCAAGTCCTGCAGGGTCTAGCACACACTCATACACATTGACTCCTTCAGTGACAGGTTCTGTAGAGACACTGCAAGTACGATCGCCGTCCACCACAAATACTTGAGGTAGTCCATCTCCATTCATTGAAGGGTAAGCTCCCACTTAATATCCTTGAATATCGAGGTGATGGACAGCTCAGTGAGATCTCTCTCATGGGACTGCTGTAGACTACAGGTAGAGTTCTGTTCTCCCACAGTCTCCTCAGTTCAGATGCTGACACCAGTCCCTCAATACACCCTGGAGGATCTGGAACAGCAGTGGAACTAACATTAGTCTATGACAATAATGACTCTCTATGCAATATATAGTATATACCTGTTTCAATGGCCAATAAAGGGTAGTCATAGTCAGGCTCACAGTTCTCCGGCTCAGGTTCAAACGACTGGCAAATATTCCTCTCCTCGTCTCCCACCTGGTGTAGTAGTCTCAGACCTCTACCTCCATGTCTAATCCAGAACATGTCTCCATTATTGAACATGATTGGTGTTGTTTCTGACACAGTCAGTTCGTATCCAAATTCACCAATCTTCTGTTTCTTGATCAATTACATATCATTTGTGCCCACCTGAGGTATCATAACTCTTAGTGTAGGACTCTCAGTACCACTGGGTTGAAGACGAGGCAGAGCTATGAATGTGATTTTACTGATCCGAGGACTGTTGTTGGGTCCAGAGCAGTTGGACCTGACACTAACACCAGGTACAGACCTCATCTCCCCATCATGAGTTGAATATCTCTCAAGTAGAGAGCCATTTCTTATCAGCTCCTCCAGGTGTGAACCCACTGGTCAGGGAACTACCTAACCAGCATCGTGAATAACCCAGAACACCTAATGCATTCATAGAACATTGATTGCCTGGTTTTACTGTCACACCAGTATTAATGTTTAGTCCCTCACCTTCTGCAGGTAGCCAGAGAGCCAGAGAGAGGATCAAAACTACGACCATGGACTTCATGCCAACAGCACTGGGAAAATTGTACTCTGTATAATACCGCATCAAGAATGTTGTGGTTTGGTGCCTCATTTCCTCCTATGACCTAAGACTCTCCAAGGGCTCAGTGTATGGTTTTGCCAGATGTAAGGATGAGGAAACAGAAAGACCTTCACCTTCACTTTCTTTTCTACATATCACTCCTATTGAGGAAGGAAGCACCTAGCTAAGGAGCTGTCACATGCAGACATGCCTGCCTGAAGGTATGGGAGGTTGCACTCACTAAGGAACAGAGACTAAAGGAGGAAAAGACCCAAGAATGATGCCAGTGCAACCGCTTGTCGTAAATAGACAAACATGTGCTGTGGAACAGAGAGGTGGGGTGGTTGCAGTGTACTGCTTCAAGGGTACTCATTGATGGATGAAATGCTGAAAATACAAAATTCACGTTTGACATTTGTTTCCCTATTGTCCCCCCTCCCCCCAGTCATGTTTATGGCTCTGACGACTGTGTCCATGGCAACGAGCAATCTCCTCCTGGAATTGGTTGTCATGGAGACCAACTCTGAACAGAACGTCTTCGTCAGTAGTGAACAGAATAGTCTGCAGAAAGACAACAACAGACGGACAGACAGACAGACAGGGGAAAAGGTCATTGTACTACATTGTGAGGTATTATGAACCAAAATAGTGTGGCAGACTGACCTCTCCACAGTTTGAGGATCTGTCCAGAATTCCTCCACTGGCTCTGAGGAGACGACGAGGTAATTAGTATCGTGCCTTCTCAATCAGAATAATTATAATACCAGACATAGTTGGAATAAATTTCCACGTGAGTAGCTAGCTACCCAGAAAAATCATTTTATGGTCTGGCAAAATTTCACAGTAAATCGACATCCTTAAACAGAGTTCAGGTGGAATATTCTTGTATATCTGTGCATCCACAATAACCAACTACTGTATGTGGAGGGAGTGAATGACAAGGGCTTGCCTTCTGATCTCTCCTCTGAAGATGAGCTGCTGGTCCAGCCACATCTCCATGTCCCGTACCCCACGATAGGCGAGACTTGTTGTAGTTCTGAGACAAAGAGGGAGGGGCTAGGTGAACTTTGACCCCATTCCAGATGAGGGGTGTGGCCTACCCAGACTCTGACGACAGCGAGGGAGGTTGGGGAAGAGAGGGAGATGGTGATGGTGTGAGGTTGTGAGGGCGTGAAGGGAGCCAGCCACATGTGCAGGTCGTCCTTCGTGTGATGCACTCCGTCCAGGAGATTGCTCACCACTCTCGGGTCTCTGGAATATTCCGGAAGAACATTGATATCAGCAGGATCTGCAGATATCTACTAGCAAAAATGCAATACATTATTGATGAGCAAATATATTTCAGTTGTTACAAGAAAGGAGAGAAAGATGAGAGAGTATAGTGTTTTTGACAGTTTAGTTCAAACCCTGAATGTTTCAGTGTATGGTATAGTTACCTTCTCAGCGAGACAGCCTTTCTCGATCTCCACCACTATGGCTCTACCAGTGCAGTATCTACCACACATACAACAGACAGAGTTAAAGAGAAGACCACAAACACACACACTCATGCACACTCGCACACAGACTCACCCAACTCGAATGTCCAGAGTTTTTATTGGTGGCAGTTTGTGAGGAATGAACACCTAAATAAGATAGAGAGGGGGGAGAAGTGTGTGGCAGGAGAAGTAAGCCCACTGCTCACAGGAATGACCCAGGTCTCGTCCAGGAAGGCAGCTGACTCCAGCTGCAACTGGAAGTCCAGTTCAGTGGCCCCAAACAAGATTGACATTAGGGTCTCTGTCAGGAGGCGAGGGGTGAGAGAGGAGATAATTAAGAGGGGCTTACCCCTGAGAGTGGGCGAGGCTACGATGGAGCTGTCCTGGTACCAGTACTGTGGAATGGGGGAATGACAGAACCAGGAATGGGACTCAGACCAGAGACGTCTCGCAGAACGGAATGAGGTGGAGCGTGCCGTCTTGTATGGGCTGGGGAGCCGTCTTGAGCCGGTGGAGGACGCCTGCAGGGAGAGGGCATCTCATCTGGAGGCGAGGGAGAGGAGGTCAGCCCACCATTTAACTCCTGCAGCAGAGGATGTTGGGAGCTCTCTGGCACTGCTGCAGTAGCCATGCCTGCCCGACTCCGCCCACTTATCAGCGTCTTTAGGCGCATGCGCAGAATATTATGCCACATTCAAAATTTCCCCATTGCTAGCTGGGACCACACTTATAATGCTAAAATGCTACAATCAGTTCAGAGTCTGGCATAGTCATAGACCAAAGTATTAGTCCCACTAACTTGAGCTGGGACATATGCTGGGTTGCCAGATGTGGAGATGTCAGTAGATATGTAGGCCTCATTTGTTGTTATTGGGATATCTCTCTCTCCTGAACCACTGGTAGTGCCATATGCTGGGTTGCCAGATGTGGAGATGTCAGTAGATATGTAGGCCTCATTTGTTGTTATTGGGATATCTCTCTCTCCTGAACCACTGGTAGTGCCATAGGCTGGGTTGTCAGATGTGGAGATGTCAGTAGATATGTAGGCCTCATTTGTTGCTATGGGGATATCTCTCTCTCCTGAACCACTGGTAGTGCCATAGGCTGGGTTGCCAGATGTGGAGATGTCAGTAGATATGTAGGCCTCATTTGTTGCAGTAGGGATATCTCTCTCTCCTGAACCACTGGTAGTGCCATACGCTTCATTTGTATACCTCCGCCGACACAGTATAAAGACCAGCAGGAGAACCATGGCCAGGAATAGGAGGACTGCCAGTATAAGACCCATCACTGCACCCACTATCACTCCAGTATTGTCACTGCTGGAATCTGGGTTGGTGTCTTCGGTTGGGCGATTGGTTGACTGTGTGGGAGAACTGGTGATGATGACAGAAGATGATGATTGGTGTGGGGTGGTGGTGGGAGTAGGTTGCTGGAGAAAGGATTGATGGGAAATAGAGGTGGTAACTGAATTTGAAAGT